GAGGAAGATTCGATACAGACATATCAGCCCCAAATGCTGATATATCACAGGGTAGACTGAGAAATCCTAGAGCACAAGTTGACGCTCCTTCCGGAGAGTTGAATGTGCCTTCTACAAAAAGAAAGGGCGTTAATTGTCTCTCGTGTGCGGGAGATGGGGATAAAGCTGACCCATACAGGAAGACTAAGGGAAATGTTGGCTATAACTTCGGCGGCCCTGATGGATCACTAGAGATGGTGCAACCCAGAAAAATTGACACAACTGCTTCTACGCCTGATGACGATAGACCTGCAGCAACAAAAGAACTCGAACTCAGAACAGCTGAACCAGACCTTGATTTCCATGGACAAAACAAGGGAATCTCCACAGGAATGCCGGAGATTTCACTTCATGGAAAGGATCCAAGTATAAATACCCCTGATGTATCTATTCCATCGGGAGACACAGGTTTCAACCTTTCTAGAACAGGAAACTTTTCGTCTGAAAGACCAAGCGTTGAAGTACAAGGCAATTTCCCAGACATTGATGGACCAGAAGGAAGATTTGAAAGAGGCATTTCAGGCCCGGATGTTGATGTATCAGATGGTAAACTACAAGGCCATAGAACAACAGTTAACGCACCTTCAGGAGAGTTGAATTTGTCATCTTCAAAGAAAAAGCGCGTTAATTGTTTGGCTTGTGCAGGAGACGGGGACGAAGAGGACCCTTATAGAAAGACTAAGGGGAGTGTCGGCTACAACATCAGCGGCCCTGATGGATCACTGGAGATGGAAAAACCTAGCAAAGTGGACATAAGTACTTCTGGGTTTGATTTTGATGGACGTAAAACGACTGAAGGGCTGGAACTCAGTACAATTGTACCAGACGTTGACTCTCAAGGGCCGAAGAAAGGAATATCTTTGGAGCCTCCCGACATCTCAGGAAACTTAACAGATACAGATCCATCTGCTGAAAAATCAAAGATTTGCTTGGATTTCCCTGTATTATATGATCCAAGCATCGGAGGTTCAGGATTTGATGCACCTAAAAATTCATATGAGACGTCAACGATTTCGGGGTCCTCGCTAGGGAGAATTTTTGATAACACTGATATACAAAGGTCCAAGTTTGACCTAGATGCTTCAAATATTGAAAAACCAGACTTTGAATCGGAACCACCCAGTATAGGTGCAGGAATACAAGATATAAAAGGACCAGACTTCTCACATGAAAAGCATGACTTATCTGGACCATCAATGGGCAGAGTAGAGAACGATATTGGAATTGATGGGTTCGACCCAAGCATGAATTCGTCAAGAGTCTCTGTTGAGAGGCCAGATATATCTGGGCCCTCATTTGACACCACAGCTGGTGATATTGACCTCGGAGTAGCAGACGAACCAAGCACTGACTCAGAATTGACTGGATTTGACGTACCTAAACCTAGAGGCAAAGAAATGCACAGAACTAAACAAGATATCTTCATGCCATCAGCAGGCGGAATAAGTGTTCATGCTCCAGCAGTAGACCTACGGCAACAATTAGAGGCTGACATGAAGGGATTAGATGTTGATGCACCGGAATTAGATTTCACTGTATCATCACCAAATAAAAAACGAGCATCGTTAGAACCAGTTGACATGAAAGGTCTTAGAGGGAAGAGTTTTGAAGGTGATGTTGATTGGGGTATCAGTACCTCAACACCCAAAGATTCTGGGGGCATAGAATTTGACGCAAATCCAGTCGAAGGCGATGTAGAATTCGCAAGTACCTACGATAACATCGAACTCCACAGTAAACCAGAGTCTCTCCCCTCGGTAGCGTATGAAGAACCACACAGTCTTCAACGTTACGATGAAATACGACCAGAAATGGAACTGAGACTATTGTCACCAAATCAACCCAACGAATCTGATCTAAACTTCGATGCAGACATCTCAGATGCAAACCTTTATGTGGATAATTGGAAGCCAGGTGAAATGAACCTGGTAAAAGTCGAAGAAAACGTAACAGTTTGTTCAGCATCAGTCCAGGAGCCTTCTTCTCCAAGCAGAATATTAACTCTAGATCGTGAAATTAAGCAAAGAATTGAACTTGAACTCCCGGGCCATGAAGGTAAAGATACACCATCTTCATTAAAGAGAAAAAGTACTTCATCTTCATCATCCTCCTCATCCTCTTCTGATGCCGAGGATGACAAGGAAAAGAAGTCAAAACGAAAAAAGAAGTCCAAACTACCACAGGTGTTCCGAAAGAGTTCAAACAGCTCAGCATCGTCCAAGGAGAGTGGCTCCTCGTCCAAAAAGAAAGCGAGCGAACGGAAATCCTCAACAAGTTCTTCTTCATCAGATGACGATAACGAAGATCAAAACCGTCCCACAGCTGATTTTGTTTCAGGATTGAATTTGAAAAAGCAAAAACCGAAAACAAGCTCATCTTCTTCGTCCTCCGATGAAGGTTCCTTTGGTCTTAATCATCAAGACTTACTTAAACGAAAGAAATCAAGGAGTTCATCATCATCTGATGAAGCGAAAGAAAATGACAAGAAAAAGCAGACCTACAAAGTGGACGACAGAACATTTACCTCAGTGGCTGATGAAATAAAGGAACCAGGAAAGTCAGGATCGATAACCTTTGATATTCAAGAAGAAGTAACTCATGACTCGTTGATGCTAAGCGGCAAAATATCATCAAAAGAGCAGAAACCTACGAGTTCCTCGTCTTCGTCGGATGAAGAGATCTCAAGTTACAACGTCAGCGAGTTGAATGATCTACCCAAGGCAAAAGATCAAGCAACCACAGAAACGAAACGGGAGGGGGATGACCTTCCTTCTTCATTGGACCTATCACTCCATCAGTACAAAGCAGTGGACTATGTTGTAACCCATAATTACGCATCCGAAACACAAGAAACAAATCCCTCAGGTGTAGAAGAGGATCCTTTTGTAGTTGTATCTCGCTCCCTTAAAAGACCATATCAAGACACTGAACACGAGGATGAATTGAAAGTAAGTTCTATAGAACTTCAATTTAACGAGCCACCAGGAGAGGTTTCCAATCATCTGGACTATCCTTGCCGAGTCGCTCAGGTTGAAGAGGGCGATGGCGCATTCGTGCAAGAAGAAGGCGTTGTCCCATTGTTTAAGTTTCGGTCATTGGACTACGATGTCCCAGATGTGTCGGTTCTAACGAAGCCTTCTGAGGAAAGTGATGCACCAAATTTGTTATCACCTAACCAAAGGGACCGCGTGTCTCCTACATGGGACGTACAAGCCCATACTTTTGAGGATGTATCTCATGTAACAATTCAAGATGACCCGCCAACGGGGGATGAAAACCATGAGATCCGTGAACAATCGCTTATTATAGTGACACGCTCTCTTAAGAGGACGTCACCTGTCACCGAAGACGCAGATGACATCAGGGAGGAAAAATCTCCAAATTTCTCTAACACTATGGAGATTCAAGCTACTGAACCTAGCCATGACTTCTACCTTGAATATCCGCAAAATAATAAAGTATTCGTACTCGATGAACAGAATGGCCATCTGACAGATGAAGAACAAATCTCACAGCACACAAAGGAAAGAGAAATACCAGACATTTCAGCGCAGCTAGCCGCATTAAATTATACTGAAGATGAACCTCGATTAAAAAGCGATTCACCCACAAAAGCTGAAGACAATGTCAAATCGCCAAGGGAGAAAAGCCCTAAAGAAATTTCGAGGCGAGGTTCCAACTCTCGTCTTTGGGATTTAATGCAAGGTTATCTAATTGAGCAGCCTATACTCAACGATAATGACACAAATTCGGAATCAAGATCACAGAACACGGAAGAACACAACGAAGAGGGAGAACAGGTTTTTTACGAAACCAAGCCCATAGAAATTACAGACAGCAGCATTTCGGAAAAAACTCAACAATCCCTTAATGTGGTGACCTACCAAATCCACATCGACGACCACGAACATCCTAAAGAAAGAAGTGGTGATTTAGAAGATAGAGACACAGCGCTAAAGGCTTCCAAACCTGATCTCGTTTCTTTTGATGCGAAACCTGTCGAAGACAGTCCTGCTACCACAAGCTACAGCACATCAATAACAAAGGTGGAAAGCAGTTTTGCCTATGTTAACTTGACACCCGTAATGACCGAGACGGATTCTGAATTAGGCGCGGTTGATCGATTAGACACGGCGAAAGATGAACACCATACATCAGTTACAGACGTTAAAAGCAGTGTTCAGGAGGTAACGGTCACATCACATTCGTCTCAAATTGAACCCATTTCTCTACAAGTGGATATTGGTGCCATAAAACCTGTTTCCAAATACCAAACTACTTCATGGAAAAAGGAAGTTTCTGTTCCTGTCGATGTGGATGACAAGAATGACGATCCCTGGATGAGGCATTATTCCAGAGGATTACAACAAGGCACTCTTTACCAGCCACTGTATGCAAAATCACCAGAGAGAGACCCATATCTTGGTGAAAGACGTGGCGTAAGTTTGTCCAAAGTACCTCATGTTAAAGGTGTCAAGACGTCAGGCGAAAAAGAGCGTGAAAGACCGAGGTATTCCATCGAGGGCCGAACTAGCATCCAATCAGCGTCCTACCAAGTAAGTACAGATGGTAAATCTATGCTTCGAGGATTGGAAGCAGTCCCCAGAGTGCGAACACCCGAGAGTCTCTTTTCTAGCCGAGATGACAGAGAGCAACCGCAAAAGAGCCAACCTGAGAGTGCTGGAGGAGACCCGTCAACAGGAACGTCCACAAGTGGCCCTTCCGTACAAAGTTTGCGTTCCTTTTGGGATAAATGAATTGAAGTCCACCTTATCGTGGCTTTACATCTCTTAATACAAACGAAATGTACATTAGTTACTACTCTTTCCCGTAAATAGCGTTACATGCACGCTTACATCGAGAAAGTGTCGTTAGAAAAAGTCAGTTATTGTTATATACTAATAGCAATTGACACTGCTTAGGCGCTAATGTATGGAGAATGTGCCGGACGAAAGATAAAAATACAGTATCTCTAGTGTCAGAGGAAGATTTTTAAGCATTTTTCACATAAGATAGATTCTGTTGCTTTTACGCTGATCTTTAAGAAATGGAAAGGAATCGCTCGAAGAAGAGAATCCAAGAAACAGAAATTACGCTGTCAAAAAGGCTTAAAAGTTAAGCCTTCTTCTCACTAAGTTTTCCAATAATTTTAATTTATCTTATTACCAAAAAAAACATTATCATTAAGCAAGAATTATAATTTTACAAAGCTGAGACCTTTAAAATATTATCATTACAATTATTCAATGGAATTATTTGTAAATAAATGTTCAGTCACATTAGTCAACCTGCTTTCGCCTCTACTACGGACTCCATATTTAAACTTTTACAAATCATGAGTGACACAGTCAGCTGAGTGACACAGTCGGCTTTTTGCTTCTTGTTATGTAAAACAGATTCCATCAAGAATTTGGGGCTAGTATTGGCTGCACCTCGTGCAACTGTTAGGTTACTCCTGTGTTCACCAAACTTTCTGCGTACATTCATTTGAGCTATAGACCGCACTTCCTATCGGTTTACCGGCGTAATATCACACCCGGAATGTTGACCAATCAGAGCGCACGTTGTATCTCAGTTATTTCATAAACCTCGTTAAAAACCATATCATTTTTCGCGAGAAATAATATAACCCACAACATTCACATAACCAGGAGCCCATTATTCATTAGTAGTGGACTCCTGAGATAACTTCGTACTTGATACCCCATAAGGTTTCACATATAAACAATAGCCTCCATTTTGCGCGCAAATATGCAAGGTTATTTGTCCGCTGACATTATCTGTTTGGAGAGGCGAACAATTTTCCGAAAGCAAAGCTGAGCTTCGGGGAACAGATAATGTCCAAGAAATATCCGTGTATTTTTTTTCACCGAATGGAGGCTATTATGTTTATTATCCTTCAAAGATTTTTGCAATGTGCGGGAAAAATGCTTACGAACAGCTTACAGTTTTTTGCGTAGGATGTTTACTTTTCCGTGTTCTCTGGTTCAAATGTAAAAACAAACAAATACGTACCCAGAATGAGTTTTAATAAACAATGAAATGGATCGTGGTGATTCGACGCTGAAGGGGTGGGGTAACGATAGTTTTTAATCAGACATTCTATCTAACCCCCCTTCCCTTCCCTCCAACGGTAAAAAAAATTAAGATTTCTACGAAGAACGTGCATAAACACCAGGTTAACCTAAACAGATTTTTTTATTAAGACCAAAGAACACAGAGTATGTTCTTGACCCTATAATATTCTAACATTTCTAACATGTAAGGATTTAAGCTGCCATACAATGTAAATTAGCGCAAAGATGATATGGAGCAGAATTGAGGTTTATCTAACCGTAATATCAGTAACAATTTCCATCCGCGGATGCCCAATCTGCACAACTTGTCTGTTCTAGTTACACATAGAGAAAGAAAAAAGGAGAAACCAGCTCTCTAACATCTGATATTCCACCTCAATTTTTAACACAGGGAAGGCAAACAGAACAGCTGATAAATCAGTCTACTCAGAGACGGTCCTAACGTCCTGCAATTAGGTGACATTCGAAATTATTAGACTGGTACATTGCTATAAGATCTTCATAGGCCTAAGAAATAAAGGTCGTGAAAGACAAACATTAACAATAGTAGTAAAAATATAAACAAATTGACCACTACAAACAAATTGAAGAAAACATTGTAAATAAACCCAGTGTTTAAAAATCCCAACTGGCCGGGGACAGACTAATTGGCTATATACAAGGTGCAGCCAAGGCGTTGAACTCGGGGCAACCGAGAGCAAATCTTGTGAGTAGCAAGGTGGAGAGCTTAGAAAAAACAAAAACAAAAACAAACAAACAAAAAAAAACAAAATAAGAAAGTGTAATTAATTGAAAGGGATAAAAAGCCGAGTATACCAAAGAACCACTGATGTATCACACTGAACCGCACTATTTAATGTCTTGTGTGCCGTAAAAATTAGAAAAAGGAATTCTGATGGTTCAGTAACAAAAGCAAATCTTGCGAAGATGTATCTATACCTGCAGTTTCAATATTTGTAGTATTCATAATGATTTTACATTTTTATATTTCATACCTCCACCCTACAATACTACTAACACGTTCATTCTGATTGTTGTGTAAGAACGTCCGTCCCATGTTTTGTCAGATGATTTATCATTTACCTTTGATTTTCACCGCATTTCAGCACAGAGAGGAGCAATTCCTTGTCTTCCACACTCTTCTGTACCTTGTATGCATTTAACAAACTAAAAATCGGAATACGATGTTGCGTTACATTTTTTGTAGCTTCTTTTCAATGCCACACTTGGGAAAACTTTGTTCCATAATACTCGAGAACTCCATTATTTTATCCATCAAGGCTTATTTCTTACACGCATTTCTGTAAAAAGGATCTTTCAAAATGAAACCTCTTGCTTACTGATAGAGGGCTTGAGCACAATTTAAGAGTTTTAGAGAGTGCCAAGTCATTCCACATGCATCACCTTCTAGGCGTGGGATACTTGTCCAGTATTGCAGCAGCCTTGTCAGGAGACACTCCACTCAGCTGCATAAGCTGCTTGGCAAACACTTCACTCACTGTCATCACCTGAAGTAAGCACGGGGAAAGCCAACTCACCTACATATAACATCTATTTGTATGTAAATGACGATATTAGAAACGCAAAATTTTGTCCCTTTATCATTACACCCACGACCATACTCGCTTTCTGCAGTAAGACTGGCAGTAACCTTCTCTATTATTTTTTGTTTGCTTTTATCTCTTTATAAAGACCGAATATTGTCTAAAGAGGTTAGTCTAATGAAGATGAAGATGATTCTTGTTACCTTATTTTTGACAGTTGAATCATTGAACACGGGAAAATTCATGAGGTACATTTTAGTTCCTTCCTTATCGTTGTTTAAACGCGCTTCCTCCAGGCCTGCTTGATGACAGCTGACAAGAGTTTTATTCTGAGGAGAAAATGAACGACATAGGCTAATGGAGAAAAATAGAATTGCATAACTCGGACTGCACTATCACTACAAAGCGTGAAAACAGTTTCTACTGTTGCATAAAGTATACTGAAATAAATTGTTTGTTCTCGTTGGATGCATCTACAAGCGCTAACGGGTGACACGTGGCGAACAGAAAAAAACTGTTTTCTGTTTCTTCTTTCCATAGTTAACAACCTTCAAACGAACATTCCTTCTAAAAAAAACTTAATCATACCAATATCAATATAGCAGTTCTGTTTATTAGGTGATTCCTCAGAAAAAAGTTGTCAAACGATTTTTTGGAAACTTTCCTTAAATGTTCTCGACCAATCTCTGTTGCACAAACTACAATAAAAAAGATAAGTCACCGTGCTTGCTGAAAAGATATGGGCTAATCTTACTAAAATTTGTAACTGTTGTGGTACTGATCACGCACCTTATATCATCATTGCACATTCTGCGGTAACTACAAGCAGGGGCTTTTAAAATATTTTGATAGATAGAAAGTCTTGAGCTAATAATACAAGTTGATTTATAACTTGTAGAAAAATCACTCAAAATTTTCTTTGAGTCGTTGCTTTTAGGATTGTGATTTACATCCTCATGTAAGAGCCTCGTGCACGCTTTTAGCCATATCTCTTTTCCTTCCGATAACCATATTTAAATTTTTTTTTTAATTTAAAGGGGGATAATTTGCACACCAAGATTACGCGAAAAAAAAAAGGTCATAGTGCTCGTTCAAGAGCAAAAAAACCCATCGTGCTTGTTTTCCTCGTCCAAACAAACAAAACAAAACAAAACAATACCATGTTCTCGCTCATTAGCCTCATTACATGCTGTACAGGATGCGCAGTGCGGTACTGAGGAATCACCTTCTAAGATCAATCCTTGTCGTTGTGTTTCTGATTTTTTCGTAATTTTTTACTTTCTTTAACATTCAAATAACACAGTTCAATATGCTAACACATCTTTTTTCTAACAACACATCTCCCATGTTCTATGCACATAAGGTAATAGTTTTTCCCATTTTTTTTGTAGTGCTTATAAAGTTTATCACTCTTGGTTGCAATTTTTTTCTCACACGCACTTTTAATCTTTATTAAAAAATTTCTACTGATGGATTATTTTTATCAAATTTACAATTATAGGTAAAAAAAACTTACCCATAATTACCAAACGGTTCAAAATTAAGAAATCTTCACTGTTATCAAATACACCGAATAAAATATGAATGTGTTGAAGTTTCCTTGCATATTTTTTTGTTTATTTGTAAAGAAGAGAGAGCTCGCCAAACCTCTTGATATGTCCCAGTGAAAAAATTAAATGCTCCAGGGATCCAACCTCCTTCTAACTAAAGGTGCATATAGGCGACACAATCATTTTAAAACAGAGTAACTTCTCAGCTGCGAAAATCGCATCATTTAATAACTTGTGCTGAAAACCTCTAATCTTTGATTCAACAGGGAAATTAAATTTTAGAGTAGATCAAGTCTATTGAAAGAGTCTACTAGAGGAATTTTTTTTGGTTTTTTTGTTTTAAATTCTCTGTGAAGTAGTTTTGAAGATCAGTTTTAGCCGTTTCAAAAATGATACACACTGCAGTTGTGTTTCTGATGCTAAACTGGCCGAGGGAGCGAGGTAAAGTTGGTACTTACTGTGCAAAATTTTTGCAGATAGCGAGTCATGACTGTTAAATATGCAACACTCTCTTTCAAATCACGTGTCCGCTTCACAAAAAAGCCATCTACCACCTAAAGAGAGATAGTATCCTCATAAATAATACCTAGATACTTTTAAGATAAATAATAAAGTGTATAATCATTATCATTATTACAGTTATGATGACGATGATATTCACAGCAACGTTCACAAACCAAGTTTATAGCTAGTTTATAACACTTGACAGCTTGTAATTCCTCACTAGACTATGATGACTCAGGTTGTCACAACAACAGTCACTGTCACTGACACCTGTAGGGTACATCGGTCACTGTTATCTTTGGGTTCAAACAAGTGATTTTGTTACAAACCTGCGTGTTAACAATAGCTTGAAGCAATGTGCTCTCTGGTAGACTCATGTGCTGAATTGAGCCAAAATCCTCCACCAGGTAAATTGGGTGTCTGAGACCACAATGGCGAAGTCGAAACTAAAACAGTCAAGAGAGAAAAATTCATTTTTCACGATACCTTAGAGGTGAAGATTACGTTTAAGCTTAATTACCTTTTGCTCGTGGAAACGACCGTCGATGATACTTCCACAGAGATCATCCATTCTTTTCCTTTCCACAATGTAATCCAGGATAAGTTCTCGAGCCACAGGTACTGACAAACAACCTTGAATTTCACAGCAAAACGCAAATATAAGAGATGTATTCATCCATTGTCGAGGAACATTAAGAAAAGCTGTTTTACACATACCTGGTGTTGGAACAGTTCTTTCACGAGCCACCCAGAGGAAGTCTCCGAGCTGCAGTTTGCGCACATCAAACTGTACTCCTGAGAAAAAAATTCAAATTTCTATCGTTAAATACTCACTGTTAGAAATAGAGTGGCGAGTTGTTTCAAAGAAACTCGTTCAAGCAATTTAACAAGTATGCTGAAGATGCTAAACATGCTCTTAAGCCGTTGAGATATGAACACGTCTTCGACAGCTTTTGGGCGCTGCGTGTCCCTGACTTATACTCGTCAAGGTTTCTGTAGACTGTATTACACCTTTTTAACCAATTATTATTCATCTCTCTCTCTCTCTCTCTCTCTCTCTCTCTTTTTCTGCGAAACACTTCATGCGAGCCAACCTTAAAAGAGTGATACACCGCAAGATAAAATAGGATCAAGTACCATTGTTCTTAAGTTCCGGAATAAGAGCATCTTTTCTCGACTTGGCTTCTCCTGACGTTGTCTCATTCACATCTACACACAATATAACATCGAACGTTCCTATGAAAACAAAATCAATTAAAAAATAAAGTTTAATTCGTTACTCATTTTAACGTTTTAGTTGCTTCATTTCTTTATTAACAACTTTCCTTGTAAATTTGGTAAATCAGTGGAAATGTAATATGGTCTGGAGTTTGTAGTTTTCTTGCTTGGTGCTAATTATTAATTATACAGCATGTCGCCTTAAAATAACAAATTGCCTTAACCCTTTAGACCCAATCATCAATATGCATATTCTCCATACTGATCTCTATACATTTCCTAAGGTGCAGACGAGGAAACTTTGTTTAAAACTTCAGTTGGTAATCATTTCCTTTATTCTCGTCACCTTAATGAGTGATTCAGGGGTGATATTGTGAGGAGAAATAAGATGCTAGTCATTCTCAGGCATCAAAGAGTCAATACCATTTCTTTGATCTCTTCTATCATTTAAGCAGCACACCACTTGTTGTACTTTGACAAACATTTCTTGTGAAACAAACCTGGTCTTAGCACAAAACCTGGATCAAGGTCGAAGTCAGCCTTAACAAGTCTGTGAAAGAGACCAGGGATGAAAGGGACCAGTTACATTGAAAGCTTTTAGTTTTTTGGTTTTTTTTTTAACTCATCCCACTTATGTCAAGGTACATCAAATACAACCTGTATCAAGAGAAATATGTTTTTTGTCTTGTCGTGAGCGTGAGTCCTTATGGGGACTCAAAAATTTTCTTTGTCCCATGCTTATGACAAGAAGAAAAACATCTTTCTCTATTTCTTTACCAAGCTCAAAACTTACCATCTTCCTTACTCCATTTACAAACTTGTATCAAGTTACCTAATTGATACTCAAAATATATATCATATCCAAAATCTATACTGACAGCTTTTTTCACATTATTCTTACTCTGTAATGTTTCCATTGTCATTATTTTTGCTATTTATCATGTTGATTATTCTTGATGAATAATTCAAAAGAAATTTGTCAAAGGAAAAAGTGTTTTGCATGCCTATGTTTTTTACAGAATGAAAATTTTCACCATGCAAATACAGGAGAAGTCTATTATTACCTATTTCTGCATCAGTGAGGAAGATATTATGAAAAGTAAATCAAATGGATTTTACTGATTCTCTAATCAACAAAACAAATTGCATAACAGTCCCTAATGCAATGCCAGCAAAAATTCACAGTAACACTGTATGCTGATTGAGTAATTGTAAGTAAAAAGTTTGAAACATGGCAAACCACAAATAATTTATGGTTCCAAGGTAAGCCTTGCTGAATTGACATACCTCTTGGGATTTAATTCCTTTTTTTCAACTATGCTTGTAAATCCTTCAAGGCCCCTTGCAGAAGCAGTACAGAGGTCTATTTGTTTGCACTCAACATTTGGCTTTGATGTTGATACAACACTTCTGATGGATGCACTTAGTTTATTGCCAGATTTTGTGTCAACTAAAGCAGAAGAGGCTAATTTAGAGGCAATACTTGCAGTAAAGTGCGATGACACCACTGACAACCTGTCACCGTTCACCCTCTCCAACTTCTGGGCTAGAATGCAGCCCTGATCAGTGATGGAATATCTACAAATGTACCAGAAAAGAAAGCATGCCTCTCCTCTATCATTATCATTACAGAGTATGTAATGAAAGTCAGATTTTAGTGTCATGCTTATCAAAAGCACCAAAGTTTGGATTTTTCCAAGTAATTGAAGCACAAGTGTGGTTCACAGTATTTTGTTATGCCCAAGACTATTTCAATAGATGTTGAACATGAAAATACATACAACTCTTAGCAGGACAAAAACACTTCTCAAAAGTTTTTCACAAGGTTGTGTATAGCATGACACATCAGGTTCTTACCTGGCCGGATTGCTTGTCTTGGTAATAAAACCTTTTTTGATCAGTGTTGACATAGAAGACCATGCTGTGTAATGACTGCCCGGGTCAGGCTAGAGTAAATTCATTTTACACACTTCAGATTTAGAATCTTACTACACATTTTTTTTAGATAACCAGAGGAGATACTATTTATGATCTGTGCATTGTGGTTTTGTGTGCTGCTGAGTTATGGAGTTTTTGTTTTAAAATGAAGGTGTCTATAGTCAAAGTTTTAGCACCTTTAAATACAACTGACGAAAGGTAAATCTTATAGTCTTGGTATAGGACCTATCCTTTTATTTTTGTGAATATCAATCTCTATTAACATGAATCTAGAAATCAGTAACTGAGAGGTCTAGACTGGGTACAAGCAGTTTACATATTAGTCCTTTCCTTAAGATTGAGCAATTTGTTCAGCATACAAGTCACAAGACTTGGATATAGCTTGGATATGCACCACGTTGATGCTTGTTAATTGCCAAATTACTTAAGTATATTTTTGCTCAGGCATCTGCACACATGTAACTTGCAATTAAGCAAGCATGTAACCAGTTTATTTCTGCTTCTGAGGTAGATTTAGTTTCCCTCCCACCCACACCATAGACATTTGTAATATTTTCTATATTTCATTTGTGACTGTAAATATATGAAAATCATATATGTGAACAGGCTGAATTTTTTTCAGGTCTTATTTTCACAACTGTTTAAGCAGTGTTCATTTCTAAGAAGATTGCTTTCAAATTCATTTTTCATTAGTTATTGTCATTTTTCTTGATCACTGGACAGTTGTTTTAGTGTATCCATCACACACCTTTGATGTAATAATCTAGACTTTTATTTACGTAGGATATGTACATTGAATAAACTGTCTGATCCCAAAACAAGCCTCTGTCTGTTATGTTGCTTTGCCAGCTTGTTCTCCAAAACATGATTCATATTTAAACCATTATTTGCAGAAAACACATTCTTTGGGAATATTAAATACCAAGAGTAAATCATTTAAAGTTTCCTGAGCTCTTAGCCTGTGGATATTTTCCAAATAACAGCCTTGTGTTGGAGTCTTTGCTTTTGTTTATGACTAGATACATCTTTTATTATAATTGGGATGGAGGTTGAGCTTCTGCAGATCAAAAAAGAGTCATCCACACTTATTTTATTTTCCTTTCCATAGATGGACTCTCCATTTACAGAGTTCTCTGATCTGATTTTTGTTGCAATTCGGTTGCTGACAATCCTCAATATGTTTGACTTTGTGCTAACAAATTGAATTGTAGCACTTTAAATGTACATCTTTTATAACAAAATAATATTTTGTTGTAAAAGATGTTTGTCATCTGTTGAGAACATACAAAGTTGTAGAACAAAATGCAAAGTTTTACAAAAAGAATTTACACATCACTTTGACTATCCCAAAACAAACTCTTGGTTATGCTACAAAAACAGAGCTTTTGGTGCACTAGGAAAAAGTATTTTACCTTTGTAAAGGAAGCATCACAGAGTGACTGTGCTTCCCTCTGAAGCTCAGCTCTTGTCATGTATCCTGGATTGTTAAGTCTCTAAACATAAAATGGAGCAAGAATCAGCTTGAATAAATGCAAAAACAGCCTTTGTCTTTTGACTGTTGATCAATCCAAACATATTGCACCTAAATGAGGCTAACCAGTCGCAGAGAGAGTAACCAAAGTAGTGTACAAACTGCTTCTTCTTACATATTTAGAACATCATTCCAGGAAATTTGACACCACTATGGGAAATTCAAACTTATCTCATATGGAAAGTTTCTATTACAGTTCATTCCACCTTGAAGTAGACTAACTGAGGAAAACATTCTAACTGGCTGCATAGCTATTTTGAATTTTCTGGAATTATTTAGGTTTACTTGGTCATTGTTTGTCCTTGTGCAGGAGAGCCCTCAGAGCCACACAAACAGTTTTAATCTCAAAGTGGTAAATATATTTTTCCATTGCCGCGAGTTGATTACCTAAAGATAACTTCCATATGTAGACATGCTCAGTTTGTCTATTGACCTTACCTTAAACCCCCACTTAAGCCCTTGTTTGGTTTTCACAATCGAAAATTGATTGTTTGATAAGTGGCAACATTACGTATGTTGCTGTTCATTTGTGACATTCTCATAAAAGTGTGCTTAAAAACAACATTCCTTTTTTGGATTAGTGTCATTCTTTACATGATAGCCCTTTATACACAGTTATTACAAGAATATTATCACCTGATTATGTTGATATAATGTCACAATCAAAGCATAAGGTCCTGATCTGAAGGCTGGTACATATTCATTAGAGACTTTTCTCTTAGGTTCTTTTCTCTGAAACAGATTGGCATAAAAGGACGTGGCAATGAATAATTTGCTACTTAGCATTTACATTAACATTAAGGAAAATATTGTGAGTTACAATGTTAGGCAGTAGAGAGGTCACACAAATTTTCCATATCAATAATCCTAACAATGACTGGGTATTGAATCTACACCTCTTTACTGGGAGCAAACTCATCAGACATGTAACTAGTTTTGGGTAAAATCAACCTATAAGAAAATTCCAGAATGTGATTGGCTATCACCAGTCTAATTTGAGCACTAATAGGACAGCATACATGTATGCATCATGCTTGTAATTGAACAGTTAAATTGGACAGCATAAGCATCATGCCTGTAATTGGATGGTGTAATTGAACAGTTTACATGTCATGCATATGTAATAGGACAGTACATCTTATGAAAATGTATAAACAATGGCTAGTTTGTTTCTCAAATTTTGTCATAGTTTTTAATAATTAGTAACAAGATTTTGTGTTGTCCAATTCTGTCTCAAAATTATACTCATGATTAACAAATCCGGGTCCCAGTTTCCAGTTGTCTGATTTCATGAATCATTTTTATGATTACAGACTGAATAGGACTCTAGAAGCTAGTATGTATTAAATGTGTATCATTCATCACACATTTGAAATAAATGATACCTTTTTAAGTCCTTCTTCAAGAATATCATCATTTAACTCAACTGATGGTGGAGTATGTACACTGAGTGAGTCTAGCGCTGGATCTGTTGTGTATTCATCTTCCAAATCATGATTTGCAAACACCTCTGAAATTAAAATTAATTTGGTAAAAATACAATGCATACCATGATAACTTCATGCATTATGTAATGTCACCGGAAATTTGTATTTCACTTGCTTTAGTTTCCAAATTATGAGTATCACAATTGATGGTGAGGTGGCAACTCTGATTTTTATAATTCTGGACCAATCACAGCATTGACATTTCTTAAATCTCTCAGGCAATTTAACTTGAATAATATAACCTACCTGTTTCAATTATTACAAACCTTGGTGATTATTGACAGAATGCTTTACCATGGCTTCATCAAGCCTTCTTGCAATCATAGCACCTGATTGCAATGAAAAAAAAATCCTTTTTAGGAAGTTTGAGTAAAACTTTCAAGTGATCGCCCCAATTCTAATTTCACCAAAGTGACTTTGCACTTTCAGTATTCCCCAAAAAAGTCCTTCAAGTCCTACTGCCAAGCACAATGGCTAAGAAATCTGGCTGTCCTATATCTATTAATATGTCAGATTGACATCTAATAGTAAAATTATGAAAACAGATATGCATATAAATACAAGGTCTATTCTCTTGCTGGAAGTTTCTGAGTGGAGTCCACAATCCAGTTAATTTGTTTGACTTGCACTTTGTCTTTTTTTTTTCAGTACTATTCTGAGGCTCCTCTGGCCCCTTTTTTTTTTTCATTGTAATGTACAACCCATGGTCAGTCAGAGTCAAGGAACTCACTCAATCAATGCTGAATGGCTTGGTTTCAACATATTTTCACCTATTGACTTACATGTAACTGGAAGACACATACTTGCAGGAGGTTTCCTAGTGCAGTTTTTTCCCCCAACATTAAAAAGAAAATTCATCAAGAATGAAAGCTAATTTGTGATAGCCCCCACTCAGGAGTTTCTTTGTAAGTGTCTTGTTCTAATGAAATATAACTCTGTAATGTGTATTATGTGATAACTTGCAGCAAGTTTCCATTTAAATGTATTCATGACAAGAACTTATAGCAGTAAATAGCTTGTTGTATTCAAAAGAAGTTTATTCCTGATCTTCAGCAGAGTACTTCTAAGTTGTCTCCATTATAACAGTGTTTTTCTACAAAATTCACCCACCATGATACCCAGAGAAAGAGTAGGTTAAAGTTTTTATTGCTGAAATAGATTCCCAAAAGTTAATAATAACTAGATTGTAATAAGGTATATTTTTAAAAGCATTTCATGAAAGTTACATGATTTAGATCTTCATAAAATTGTTCTATGTAGGCATCTAAAGGTAGCAATTCATAAAACGTTTTCCATTCTAAAGCTTGTTCTCAGAGACAGTAAACTCAAACTGTTTCCAAAGATGCATCAATTGAGAAAGTGTGCTGGACAGCTGACTGCCCATGCATGTAACATATAGTTGAAGTTACTCCTTTCCCTCCCCAAGTTGTGGAAAGCACTGTTTGCAAGGGCTGCTCCTTCTTAGCACAAGTTTTTCTATTCTATTAAATGACTTGAAGCAATGTTATTTAATGTCAAATAAATAAAAAAAAACTTGCCTATGTTATCAAGAATCATTGCCTCCTTTCCACAACTAAGAGGTAATGGATACTTCTTCATAGCAGCAGCAGCCTTGAGAAAAAAACAAAGTTCTTCAACAAGGATATTAATCCTCTTGATTGATTAACTGCAGAGTTAATCCACGCGCCAAAAGTCATGTAAATGAATTTTTCTTAATAGCCAACTGTGATGTGATCTTAAATTCATTTTGCTATAATAGTGGATTATTACCATAGTGTTAAATCTGAACATTACCCAAAGTTGTACTGAAGGTAGTAACATCAACCTATAAGCCATTTCCTTGAGGAACACTTACACCCAATACTTTGTTATTAAATAAAGTACCCTGAAAGTTTGCATGCTGGTAACAGTTAGATACAAAAAAGTTAAATAAAAACAACCATAAACCCATAATTTGGCTTCTAACAAGTAATTACTTACAACATCATGGCCTTGTGTATAAGGCCACTAAATCAGAACCATTTACTTGTTCATTGACAGAGCTTTATGACATTGAAGTTTGATGGGAGCTAAAACTCTCTTGATTGACAAGCTAAGTCTCAGACTGCTTTCATAAAAAACCTGTTAGATTTATTGTTTTGCAGGGGTTTATTCTAGGGCCTGCTTATTACTAAACAGCTATATAAAAAAACACTTGCTTTGAAACTGATTTTGTGATGGGGCTGTTGGATTTTAACTGTCACTTGCTCAACAAACCCGTTAAATTACAGAATTACCTCAAGTCTAAAACACACAATTATCTATTTACATTTATTGGAGGAAATATTGCTGGTATGTGTGAGGCAAATTTTTTTAAATCATGAAATAATGACAAAGGACTTTTTTTTATCATAAGATGAACACTGACTTGTTGTACCAATGTGTTAAGTATATAACCAGGCAGGTTGATATTTCATGTTTTACTATTTATGTCATACATTTTGAAATAACTGAAGATCTTTGTGATCTCATAGGCTCTCAGAAGTTTGATTTAATCATGGATCATGCCAGTTTTCTCTAAGTCATATGTTTTTCCTAGCCAATAAGAAAGCAACACTAAAACAAAACAGCCAATAAAATTTTAAGGCTTTTTCTAAACAACCAACCAAACTGCTGGAAAAAGAGAGAAAGACAAAGAATCCATAAAAGAACTTAACAACATTTTTCCCCAAAACTTCTCTCTTTTTCCAAAAAAAATAAAGAAATATTAACAATTGTTTTTACTACTCCAAAACTGTACTCCATTCAATTCGACTACCAACATAAATTAACGGTTTCATCGAAGTTATAGCTCATAATAATACATAATAAGGCAAATAATTATTTAACTAACTTATTATAAACTGCTTGGGAAATTTCATTTGGACAAGTTGAAATGACTTTCGTGCTAGTACATGCTGGTTACACCCTTATAGTTATTATGATTGTTACGTAGATAAGGGATAAGCTGTATTGAAAGAGGTTATGCCAATGTTATTGAGTACACCAGTGCAGTTGGAAGATTCATATAATTATGTTGGTCTAAGGAATAAAAAGAAACTGTACCTCCGCCTTCAATTAATTGAGAAAGAGATGTTATAAAAGGTAGGAAATTCAAAAAAATAAAACCAATCTGTAAAACAAAACGAGGTCCCGTGGTTCCCGTTCCATGTATGTTTCCGCTTTCTACGCTGGAGATCGACGTGTTTTGCTGTTATCTTTTGCGTTATGTTTGTGGTCTAACCTTGGCGTACGTGTGCTGCAGCTTGGAGTTCCTCTGTTTCGCTTCATCCCGCCAATCCTCCAGACACTTCAAGAAAAGGGGGTTGGGGCATTTCTGTTGCTTTTTACGATGCATGGCACGAAGTCAGTCGTTCTGACTTATTTTTTTAAGCGGATGAATGAAGGACACGAACGTCCGTGATAGTTTATCAGATCAATTTCCCCGCCATTGGGGAGCGAGTGCTACCGCTGACGTCAAGCTCAAGGTGTCATGTAAGAATACATGACTAGTATTTTTTTCAGGCTTTCACTGTAAATTCCAAGTGCGCGATTCTCCACGCCTTTGATGTTTATCTACGATCCTTGTTTACCGGATTTAAAACTTGACGTCTGCGTTATGGGAGTTGGATGACAGCGTGTAGGTGGTTGAAATGGCGTTCAAATCTTAACCGACTCACACCCTCAGATTGCGTACTGTGAATTGTTGATGAAGAAACCACAGATGTCAGACTGAAATTCGTCCTTTCTTTTGTACGCAGAAATATTTTAGCACTATCCTTCATGATCTATTTTCTTTATCAATGGACGCAAACGGTGACTTTTCAAGATACCGAGCGATTTGCATTTGAATAGGCATACAGGAGTGACAGCCAGCCAATCAACAAATGGTTCCCCTTCTTTTACGTTATTTCTTCCCACAATCACCGGAGCCAATGCTTTTAAATTTTAAATAGGTCTGTGAGGATTTACCATTATGCACTGTAAGTCTATTGGTTCTTGCAACTAATTATGTATTCGTGGAGCATATTTATTCCGGAACTAAAAGCGGATACGGGGTGTTTGGACTGAATAATGAACGTTTGATTCGGGTGGAAAACTTTCATTTGGCAGATCTAGCATCACCGCTTTGGTAAATTCCGTCAACCGCCTGTTTTAAAGTCGTCGCTTGAAAACAGATTCTGGTGATCATCGTGTTGTTGAGTAATCGCCCCCGTTCATACAGCTCGTTGTTGCTATATGAACATGTCTGTTGGTCGAATGAATTTTGTGTATTCTTGTTCCACTGTTTCATGCCAATAATGGGACGCACAAGTCTATCCGGGCGCGAAGAAGATGAAAATGGCTGCCGCACTCATATCGTTGTTCGCCGATCCGAACGGACTACTCTCCATGGGAGGTACGATCACGTTGTTGATTTTTTTGTAAGAAAAATGGAACTTCTTCTGTACAGAGAGATCGGATAAATTTTTAACTCAAATTGTTCAGAATGTGGGTTTAATAGAGTAATGTTAGTCAGTTATTGTTTTAAGGTTACATTGCCTTAGAGAGGAATTTTAGCCGGTGACAAGTTTAGTGAATACCACAGTGATGGTAAAATATCTTGAAACTTTTGAATGAAAAGAAAAGTTTGAAAAATGGTATAAATTTTTAATTTTACTCACAAGGCCCCACGTTGTCGTGAAGTGTTCAAGAAAGAAATCGAATTAAGATTGTGCATCAAATGGGCTTGTCATTTTCTCCCTGTTCGGCGTTAAAGTAATATGCTTTTGTCATGGGAAGGTCGCTTACTTTTCCTTAAAATTGAGGGCTTTTCGAAGCCGTGTTTATTGATAAAACTATAGAATACAGGCGAGGAGAATTGTCGATTCGTTGAAGATTCTTTAGTGAGTCTCTTTTTGTGATAAATGTGTTATTTTCATTAAGTTTAACATTGGTGCTATCAGAGCGTAAAGAGGGGGCTTTTAGGAGCGCCTGAAATCAGCAAAAGGTTTTAAAATACTGATCTTGCTCTCGCTAACACTGTTTTTGGATTAGTTTTACGACCCATCAGGTACGTACAAATGTCAACAATGAATTATTTATCCTATCTTGTACTGTATCGCATATGTGGATGTGTTTTATGCCTTATACAAATGTGCATGTGCTTTTCTTTCGAGGCGGTATTCAAGAAGCCAGGTCATTGTCTCTTTTTTTTTTTCGAATGAAGTTCCTTTTAACGTATTTACTATCTCCTTTTTGGTAAGAAGCTATGTCAAAATCATGAGATCCTCTTGTTAATTCCAACTTTTTTTTTTCAATAATACACATAGGTTACCTAAAGTTGAAAGAGGCGAAAAAGAGACATTTTGAAAGCCAGTTATCTTTTGAAGAAGCGTTAAAAAAACTTCATTTTTTCTTGCTATCAATGAAAAATGATAGAGAGATTCTTTACTTTAGAAATGTCACTGTGTTGAGCAGGTGTAATATGAAGACCACAAGTCACATTTTTAGTTCCCAGCTGCAGAAATCCCTTGCAGATTAGAATCATTGCTGAAAATAATGAAAAAAGAATAAGCAATACTTAAATCGTTGTTGGAAGTCACCTGAATTATTTTGTAAAATAACGCTGAGGTGTATATTTGAAAATTCAAAAATAGTGGAAGAAGGCTAAGCCAGTTTGACCTCTTTCTTGCAATCTTGTCTGAGACTTGTCATATGTTTGATTTAGGAGCAGCCACTAAATGTACAGTCATTGAACATCGATGAATGTTTCATTTACCTCCTGATCTTTTAAAATTTCTCTGGTAAGTGTACCATGAATCACCAAAGTTTCTATTCACTGCAGATAGATAATTTCTTAATTTATTTCGAATGGGTTATTACTTAACTAAATTAAACTTGTAACAATCAGTGTATTTCATATCTTCCATCTGAATGTTTGATGTACAGATTTGTGTTTCTCAGAAATTGACAAATCTTTTAGCTTTTCCTTCTTCTTCAAATATATATTAGGAATAGTCCTAATTTTGCATAATAGCAGAAATAGCAGGTGGAGGATTAATTATCCCTTTCTTCCTAGTTGGCTATAGATTATTGTGGAAAATCAAAAACTGAGTCACACAACATGTTAGTATGACTAAAAAAACCCCTTAATTTATCATGACTAAAAATCACATTTTTAAAGGAAATTTAGAACTATAAGCTGTTGAATTCCACAACTTTATTTTCCTGTTTTGTCATTTGTCCAAGCTGACTGGTTGTGGTGTATATTTTTCTGAGCATTAAAGTAACAGTATGCAGTAAAGAATCTTATTTTTTGTGAATGTTTGAGAGGTACTTTTTTTTTTGGAAAATCATTACTTTCAGTGGCAATTGTTGATTTCTTCTGAACCTATTTTACAAAGAATCAAGACATTGTTAATATGTTAAATTGAATGGAAGTAGAAAATCATTCATGTGGTGCAGTGTTTCTTCTTGAATGAAGTAGAAAAAAATTTGAAAATGAATGCAAGACTTGGTTGAGAGAATAGCAGAACAATCTAAAAGAATATTAACACAAAGAAAATTCAGGTGGTGAATTGCACCCCTGTGAAGAGGTTTTGTATTTGAAAGAATAAATGATTATGACAATGTTTTATCTCAGCCACTTAATGCTTAACTTTTTTAGTCATTATGCATGTGTATTAGTAGTCAATCTTGATAAATAATCCTGATGTCAGGCCTTAAATCTCTACTAATTGTCGGACTTAGTGATTCTATTGAAGTGTCAAAGGGTTGTGAAAGGATTGGATGAATATCTGCAAGGTTTGTAGAAAATAATCTGGGTGAGTGTATTCTAAGTGTCACTTGTCACAGACAAGTGCAAGTTTCAAAAATTAATTTTCTAGCACTGGGTAATTTTTCTATGGTGTTGAAACAATTTTTTCCTCTTTGCCAGTAGTGTCTGTCTGAGAAAATTTGTGCCAATTCCCTTTATCTGGATGTGTTTTGTACATACTAGGTTAAAATGACTGTAAACTAATTAAGGTAACATTCCAAAATTTAGTCAAGTTTTTTCCAATCATCTAGCAGCAACTAACCTGATCATGATGGCCAAATCACACTTTCAGATAAGGCATGCATAGTAAATGTTACAATCATGATTTACATATGTACCAGAATAATAAAAGAAAACTGGAAAGGAATTGAACATTACAGTAGAGGAGAAATTTTGAGTTCATAAATTATGCCAATGTGCACATGCACATGCCTATCAACCTGTTAGACACTCTTTTAGACACTTTGTTTCTTCATCAAACACAAGGCCAGATCAAAGCTTTAGTGAGACAGAAAGCCCACAGAGGGAGGCATTTTGGAACCGGCTAACAGCCTTGAATTCTTCATAAATCACCATTTTTGGGCTTGAAATGAGGGCCCATTTCAAGACTGAAAGAAATTGTAAAGAAATATTGGAGTAATCTGGCCAATTAAAAGGAAAGTGACCTTACTAAAAAGAAAGTGTGGGAACTATGAAATTTAAAAGAGAACATAGCTATTTTGTTCATGATTGTTATGTTTCTCTAGTATTCCTTTTGTTTCAACACTTCCTGTATAAAGACAAAAAAATTAGTAGATGAGTATGTTGCGTTAGTGCCATTCAGTTGTTAACTTAACTACAAATTAAATATTGGGAATTTTATTCCCAAAAAGATACTAATAAGATTTATAATCATGTTAGCATGAACTAGTCAATGACTATCTTTTGTTGTTCATTACTAATAGTGTTTTCAAATGGAAATAGTTTGTCAGCATGGGTGCCTGATGTCTTATTTTATTGCCTATCAATAATGTGACCTTTAAGGTTCAAGACCAAACTTCAGATTTTGTTGTGCTACTCTCAATTGCAACAGATATCTGAAAGCAGAAACAGACAAAATTGATTGAAATTCTCCAATCACAACTCTGACCTGTAATCTTTCTAATCCTCTGAAGCAGTGTACATGTTTTTTGGTGAGATCTGCGAGGTGATGTTGGCAAATTTCATTTTAGTTGTGCTTCTTATTAAGGAGCATAGAACACTGCCAACTTCACTTCCCTGACATATCAATTTGAATTGTTTTTTCTTTGTCTTATAGTGTTCAATAGCAAGTTTGTAAAACTGAACTACACTGCTAATGTTGCCCTTGAATAATGATCATGAATAACTCAGGTAAGATTCTATGATTTATGATAGCAAAGGTCAATCAACCATGAAACAATTACATGTAGCGCTAATGAAGGGTATATTTCTTTTCCTAGGTGTGTGAAGGATATTTGATTGTCTGTAATAAAACACTTACCAGATAAATATGAGCTTTTTAATTTTAATTTGATAATGATAGATAAACTACCACAGAGGAAGAAAAGCTGTGTCTAGAACTGTTTTGTTACTGAGCACAGTTTTTGCCCTCTCATTAGGATACAATAAAATAAGCTGTACATTTCTTCATGCTCAAAGGGCAACTTGAAATAAGGATAATATTTGGGCTTAGAATTAGTCTTTGATTTACGATCTTACTGCAGACTAGTTCATATCTTTCAACACCACCTCATGATAGTTTTTTTGCCAAGCCTTAATTAACCAGGATATTTGACATGTGCTAAAATGTTTTTTTGTCACATGTAATACTGTTGAAAAAAAATTTATTCTGAGCCTACTTTGTACCTATTATGTATTTCTTTTGCATTTAGTGGCCTTGGTGGCTGGCTTAGCAACAGGTATCCCTGTAGTTGTTCTTGTGTCAATTTACATGGTGTATTGCTGCTGTCGGCGGAAGCAGCAAGATCTGCAAGAACCTCGTTTGTGGAGGATCAAAGATACTTCCCATGATCCATATATTCCACCTTTTGTACCAAGAATTGTACAGAAATTTGTCCAACATTCTCATCAAGGAACTCGTAATAGTAGTAGTGCAACGTCTGCTCAGACTTCACCTTTAGAAGACAAATCATTTTTCAGTGAAGATTCTGGCTCATATCGAACAGCACCTGATGATGCTGGAATTCCAGAAAAGAGACATAGTTTGGGTAGTTTTGAGGCACTTAATGTGCCCACAATTAGACGATCATCCCTTCTTCAACTTACTACCTCAAGTGGAGACAGTTCAGAAAGCATTTATGAGCAAAGAAAGAGCTCAGATGTCAAATCTCCTAAGAGTTTCCCTAAAAGCAGCAGCAAGTCTTTTGAATTTGTGAGGCCAATTCCAGTTAAACCACTCATAACAATTACCAGAGTAGAATCTAAGGATGACATGAGCACTAAAGTGCTTGTAGGTGATGTAGATCCAAATGGCCAGAGTCATTCAGACTCACAAGTCCTGCCTGTTAGGAAGCCACCTAAACCTTCTCGTAGTTTGGATAATGTCTCTGTTCCATCAAGGGCAAGCAAAGAGAGGAAGGGAAGTACTGATAGGAATTTGGCAGAAGGGAGAAAAGCAAGTGGCGACACTGAAGGGGAAGTAAAAGTTAAACAAGGAACTCTTGCCAAGATTCCTGTGAACATTCCATCCCAAGTCATTCATTCACATAAAGAGACAAGAAGAAGGAGCTCACACAGTGGTCTAGGAAGATTAAATGTGTCATTACAATACAAACAGACCACCTGTGACCTATTTATAAAGGTAATCCTTACTCTTTGTGTTACTAGACCACAAACAGCAACATGTTTGCTTTGTGGTTTTGAGGGTTTCTCATGTGAGCTGAACTTAATTGTGACTGGTTGGTATATAATTGACCTGTCAGAATCAAATCAAAGTGTTGAGGGATTTTCTGGCTGAAAACATGTTAAATTCCTGCTCAGGCAGATCTCTTAGGTGGCTTAGTCATGATAGCAAGTGATACAGTGCCCTCATTGTTTCATTGAGGTACTTAAACATTGTGACACAAATTGGAATGGAGATGGGGGTATGCTATATGCTGTAATGCGAGAGATTGACAGATTTTAGGTTTCCAATTAAGAATGCCCATAGAAAGAGTTGTTTCCCTAAGACATAGTATTGGTGCAAGTGTGAAATGCTTGTGCCTTCTGATGCTGAACAACTATTTTTTTGGAACACAATAACTTATTCATCAAAGGTGTACTTTATCAGTCCTCTCCTTATAGCTAGTTATGTTTACCAAACATAATGTTTTGTGTATATTTTTTATGTAGAAGTTGGGTGTTGTTATGACAGTAATTATTATTAATAAAGTCCTTCAATCTTTGTACTCTGTTTATTTATACTTTGCTCATAGATCCTCCAAGCAAGAGAACTTCCTGCTAAAGACCTACGTAACAACACATCTTCCCCATATGTTAGGGTCTATGCACTCCCAACACGGAGACATAACCACAGAACAACAGTTATTGAAAAGAACCTGCATCCAGTATGGAATGAATTGTTTATTATCAGTGGACTCACTCTATCTGAAATTCGACAACTTGCATTACATTTTCTAGTCATACATCACCAGCCAGTGTCACGCAATGTTGTTATTGGAGAGGTGATGATGACATTAGGTGGGTTGGACCTAACTGGAGGAGAAGTGAATGTTTGGAGAGAAATCAGACCTCATCAGTTTCAAAATGTAAGACTATTAGCTAGGTTTGATTGAAAGAAATTTAATAAATAACCACTGCTGTAATCCACAGTATATATGAACTTATTTCCCTCAAGTTTGATCAAGTTGATTTTCCAAAATTCAGAGTGATGATTATCATCAAGAAAAAGAGCAACTTTGTAGAAAATTGTAGTTTACAGAGAAAAAAGCAATCCTAAAATCTCAGAGAAACAGTGTAACAAACTTGCTGTCTTGAAGTAATTTAACCTTTGTAGAAATTCTGTTTTTACCGTTTTGTCTTAGGGATTAGAGACTTTTTCAATTAAGTGTGTCAAAAATACTCCATGATTTCTTCAGTTTTGCTGAACTTCACTCCGTAATTAGTCCAGAATACCCTATTCTCAATCAATTAGATTCAAAGCTAACCAGCTCCAATTGTCTGTTACTATTTGTTTGATATTGGTTTTTTTTAAAATCCAAATGAATATCACTCTAATTACCAAGTAATCCATGATAATAAGTGAGGAGTTTCTCATGTTTTCTACCATAATTTGGTTTTTTATTCTCTTAGTAATACTTATTACACATTATTTTGCCTTTTAAACAGATTCTTGGTGATTTGCATGTGTCTGTTTGTCATCAACCACTGTCAAGTAAACTGTCCGTAACTGTGTTAGAAGCAAAAAACCTGCCAAAAATTAGCAGTCTCAACATAGGAGGTAGGATGTGCACAGGATTGGTTCAGTTTGCATTTTAAAATTCAGGAAAAATTTTTAAATCTCCACAATTTTAAAATTCAAATTTTGTGGGAGGGTTAAAACTCCCAAAGTTGATATTTTGAGTGTCTGGTTGAGAGAGAAATATTTCATTGATAGCAATGTACACCCCTAAAAATGGTAATTGTCTATAAATTTATGTCTAGATCCATATGTCAAGGTAGAATTGTTCTCTTCAAACCGCCGTGTTGCTAAGAAGAAAACGCGTGTGAAAAAGAAAACAGTAAACCCAAAGTTTGCTCAGACCTTTACATTTGACCTGGGAGGAAAGATGGCACTTGATCACATGACCATGATGTTTACTGTACTAGTTCAGGATTCAAGTGGATGCCATGAACGGATTGGCCAAGTGGTGTTGAGCACAGCAGCAGGTGATGGGCCAGAGTTTGATCACTGGAGTCAGGTGATTTGTAATCCACACTGCCCTATTGACCAGTGGCATATGATACATGAATAGTTCATCTGCAATCTGTGTAAAAATGTTGGTATAAATTATCAAGAGTTACATTGAAGACACAGATTCCCACAATACTGTAGCTCATAACTTATTCAGTAATGTAACGGAATGGCACTAAAGTATAAAAACTTTATTATTAAGTCTAAGATACTGGAGGCTTTCAGGATAGATGGATATTATTATCTAGTGGATAAATGCCAACATGAAAAACTTAGCTTTTCACTAGTTAGTGATTTATGTTGTGCAAATGGATATTGTCCACGCTTCAAATAACCATACAGGATAATGTGTTGTGGTAATCTGTGCATTATTTGTTATATTCTTCATTTCTCCCATTATGTCTTAAATGTTGTTAACTGAACCAAATTGTTGTTGTTGTGATAACAATTGAGCCGTTTTCAACCAGATCTACACTTCAATTCTTGATCAGCATACTCTAGTGTTGTCTCAAAATAACCGCAGTGTTGAGTACTACGTTGCATTTACCAGGAGGGGTTCTAGTCTATATCTCTTTGTCCTATGAGAACTATGGAAAAATATCAAGCAATGCGTCACTTACCCTTTAAAAACCAGTGAGAACTCTCCTCAAATGAATTAGATTCCTTTACCTCACTTTATTTTTTGGTGTCATACTTAATAGTAGGTTCTTTTGGATTAACAGTTTTAATTACTCTTCTAACACTCTGCGGCTATTGTTGAATAGTTACTTTGATAAAGTCAGAAGTATTATTCGGTATTTTTAGTGACTTCTGGGTGACTACACGGCCTTACGTTTCAGTTTGTTCAGAAGTTTGCTAGTTTAAACATCGATCTTTTGTGAAAATGTCTCTGAACTATCATGCTTTATATTAGGGAGAAGCATTCCTCATAACTGTTCGATACTTTAAACAAACAAGAAATACATCTCTCTCATCTTGTTACCTAAGACCTCGAGAGGACGGAATTTAGTGTTTAGTCACCCCAAGACGATTTTATCCGTTTTCAAATGTGCAAACTCCAAGTTACACTTTCATGTGATTTACCCAGTTGAACATTAAAGGATTTATGAAAAAAATTGCTCCTCTCGACGCTAGACCTGCGAAATTGGTGTATGAAGGAGTTATTGGGTGCTCTTAAACATATCTGGTATGACTGTCTTGCTCGTTTGAGATGTAGGCCAAGTGTTCTATTCAATGATTACGTTCTAAATTTTACACGCTTCTGATGAAAGCCCCTCTTCTCTTAGTACTTGAGGTGGGTAGAAAATACGTTATAGGGAATGAGGTGTTTCCCTTTTTGATGCTGTAGGTATCGACATACAAAGTACAAATTCTGAGCAAACACATTACTTGAGAACAAACCCGTGATGGAAGAAATAAACAGATTATTTATTTTGAAATAAATTTGAAAGTCGTCATTTTAATGAGATAAAGGTATATAAGTAGTTATTTATTAGTAAGACACTATTCAATATCTTATTTAGTTTATTAAACTGATGGAACGAAGTTGATATATTGTGGATGAAATAAATTTATTTGGCGTTATATGCTGGTTTTTAGTTGATATTGTTAAATAAGTGTTTTTTCGACTGGAAAGATTTCCTTTTCCCATTCGTCCTGGGCGATATTGGTGAACCAGACCATTCCTTTGGAACTGATTTTTTTTATGCTATACTTTCTGTGAATGAATGAACAACATTAACGAAGGGTTATGCACGTGAAAATGCTCTATCTAGGTGCAGAAGGTAATCAACCTCAAATGTTGCCTTCACGATGAATTTGTCTGACAATGCAGCGACACTTTGGGGATCTGACCAAACCAGCCGACCGCTGCTATGTTCCTTCTTTACCTGAACCCTGGGCTTTCAGGATCACGGCCTTCCCTACGAGGTTCGTCGTATGGCAGGAAGTGGTGATCAAGAGATAGGAATGATTACGGAAAGGCTTCGGAAATCCACTTCTTGGTGGTCCAGTCCATTCATTAGAAAAAGAGCAATTGCCCCTCACCTTTTCTACACAGGACAGTGTAATTTATCCCTTTCTTTCGAACTTTTGCAATCGAAAGAGACTGCGTACTAAAATGCAGACTTATGCTCGAATAGAGGGAGCGGAGTTTTGGAGCCAGGATACAGCCCAGTGATGGCAGGAGATTGAACTCTTCGATCAAAGAGCACAAAAGTATGCTTGGGAAGATCAAAAGTATGCTTGGGAAGATAAACAGTGTAGTAAAAGCCTTGAAAGAACATGATTCTAAGCTTTTCCAGTCTGATGGGCTAACCTTAGAGCGAGAAGAATTTGCTCACGTCTATCGTCATGTAGAGTAGATCTATAGTGACGACGCCAAGGGAATAAGGTGTGAAAGGTAACGAAGAATAGAGCGGCGAAAAGTCTGCTCAGTGAAAGAGAAAAAAGTTGACAAAAATAAAGTTGATGTTATCGCGCCGCATGTAACTCAGGGATTGATCGTAGTCCACACGGGCGATGAGGAAGAGCTTGACAATGATGACGAAGAAGAATATGAGCAGAGAGAGGTTGTACAGGACTAACCTGATAAAATGTCTTTCCATAAGAATATCTCGGCTTTGAAAATTGTTATCGTGGAAACACTACCATATAAACGCTGGAGTAAAGTGGTTGTTAAGGCAGAAGAAAAGTTTCTGTTACATTTATATACCTTTTGTCTGTTTTGTGTGTGTAGTTTTATTTAAATAATGAATCATCATTTCAACTCTACAAATGCTGAAATATTTCGGTTGACCACCGCTTCCCTCTATTTTTCTTGGTATGGCCCCCCCTTTGAAGCCATTTTTCGCTTTCTCTCTCTTCCCCCCCCCCTTGCATGTTTATAAATAGTTTTTGACTGAACAATTTTTGTAATTACAAATAACCCTCGGAATTTAATTTCGTGACGTAGTGAAGCGAAATGGGACAGCTATTTAGTGAAGTTTCACCGCATTGAATTTTAAGAGCTTCCATTTTGGGCCGGCTTAGCCAAAAGTATGTGCCATTAGTATTTCATTAGCTTTTTTACGTCATCTAGATTCCTTGTCTCGGCCGGATATTCTCTCATAAGAGTTTCTGGATAGTCTTTGCCTGTCAGGCGATGACGGTGAACTTCCGCTACTCGATATCGAATATCGCGGACGCAATTTGATTGCTGAAGTCGAAATGTCCTCCTCGTCCTCCTGGAGGAATGGTTTGTGACAAGAGAAAAGCATACCGGGATGGTCGTCCGGAATTTTGGCGCAAAGCTCTAATATGAGGAGCAAGAATGTGAGTCCAGTGATGAAGAAAAACACACAGCAGACTTTATAAAGTGAGCGGTATTCACTCCTCCGCCACTTCGGGTCATCGCCAGGAACAAAGTCTCCAAGTCCTATGGTAGTTAAGGAAATAAAACAGAAATACAACGCTTCAAAGTAGCTCCAGTCTTCGAGGAACATGAAAAAGAAGGCTGGAATTATCATGACTAGTGTGATAGCGCCGCACATGATCAGTGATAAATGAAGGAAGCGCAAATAAGCGGTTGGAACACCACGTACGGTACAAGTACTGCACAGAAACTTTTCCAATACTTCGGTTAACTGAAGGAGTCGTTCTACTATGGCTGTCAACATGATAGCTGTCATGGGAATACCAAACACTGCGAACACCATACAAAATACCTTTCCACCATCCGACAAAGGGGCAATGTTCCCGTATCCTGAAAAACAAAGTTGCATATCAGATCCCGGGCGTATTGTAAAAACAAAACCAGTAAATATCAGTCAATATCTGATAACAAGATTTTTGCATATATCATCGCAGTATATACTAAGTAGGAATGAAAGCGCGCTTTGATTGGCTACTCAGAATCCGAATATCCCTTGCTATTCACCTCCGAGCTACTTGCGCAGGATTTGCGCCCGAAATAATTGTACTCGTTGCAGAAATAAACAAGTTAAAATCGTTCTGTTTTTATATATATTAAAGCGACTATTCACTTCATCGGTGGCTTGCGGAGAAATGTCTAACGCTGGCCACCTCCACTTCGGTGGATAGTTGTTCATAGTTGTCATCCTTTGTTCATAGTTGTTATCTGTTAGTAAAACTGATTAATTTTCTCTTGCGGAAGAAGCTGTGGTTAGTTAAGAAGGGAATAACATTACAATAGGCATTAAGGCAAATGATCATATGACTCGTCCGGCCCAGCTTGTGTAGTGCCATAGAAAACCATCGTAAAAGCTGACGTGTATAGGGCAGGACGGGTTAACGTCAGCCGGTCCGGAAAAAGCCGTCCTGCCCTAGTGCACTTGTACGGCTTTGTTACGAAAAAAAAAAAAAAAAAAAAGAAGAAAGAACACTGTTCTCTGTTATTGCAAAGTTAAGCGAGAGCAGTGAACAGAAGTGACAAAATAAGTCACGTTTTGATGAATTGTGAGTTTCTTGTTCTCACTCCGAAAAACAAAGGAGAAGTTTTAATTGCTGAATCTTTTTTATGGCTTTCCCGCGCGCACCAGTCTATCGCGTCCTATTAAAATTAAATAAAACCTTTCGAATTTTCAAAACATTGTAGGTGGACATGTGATAAAATGGTTATTGACTGAGTAGGGTCGGACCGGACGGGAAAGTATTTAGCTCTAGTTCATGACACGCGAACCTCACTGCGCTTGGTAGGAACGTCATGACCTCGAGCCAAATATTTTCCCGTCTGGCCCTTCCACTCAGTCAACAGGTACATACTAATTCTGCGAGTACCCCGAAAACCATTCATACTACTGTTTTTGATTGGTACTGCTGCATAAACTTTTCCATCGTTGGGTGTAGTTAGGACACAAGTTGCAGATTTCAGTTTCGATGAAGTGTTTTCTGTGCAAGCCAAATGAAAACGCTTGTTCATTCGATAAGGGTTTTCAAAAGCAAGAGATTATAAACTCTTTTCATAAGTTATGAACTCCCATTTTGATGAGATTAGAGTTTACGCTTAGTTGAAACGTGTGCAATCAAGCAACTCCCGAAGTCAGTCATCTTCGTGCTTATTTATTTATCATCCAATGTACTGACTTTGAGGAAAAATCGATTAAGCACCGTTTGTTACAAAAAACTTAAATCCGTAAGAGTAATAACGCAGATTAAAGGCAAAAGAACAAATTCTTTCAAACATAGTCGACAATATTTTTGCATAGTTTTCTTTTTTTCCCTTTCTTTTTTTGAATGAATTCCTTAAAGATCCTCGAGTAATTGTAATCTTGCGAGTTACCTTTCAGTGTTTGGCTTTGCTTTATTAAAATGTTTATAATTTTTTTCAATACGCTGGTGGAAGAATCATTGATGACATTTCGAAAAATAAATATTGAAAAATATCTGAAAAGAGAACGATCAGTATTTTCGCAGCGACAAGAAACACAGAAAGATGTAGAAATTTGACCTTGTAGTTCTTTCTTAGAGATCCCGTATTTGCTGATAAAAAGGGACACCACTTCGCAGAGAAATTGAGAAATTTCAAGAAATCCAAGTTGAAAAGTTGTTTTCCTTTCAACTGTAACAATCGTTTTCATCGAAATATTTTTAATCCTTCTGTTCCTTTGGCAACTTTCAAAGGTCAATCATGCCCAAGAGCTGTGGTTATTGCAATTGTTTTGTGACTAATCAGATGCAAGATGTTTCACATGAAAAAACGAAACCATGACTTCAAACGTAAATGCTATCCAACACAGCGCACGCACGTAACTTCTGAATGAAATAAATGGTCCAATTCCATCAAAGATACCTTGTAAGATGAAAAGTTTTGTCGGCCCACGGTATTTTCAAAGAGATGTTATCACTATGCTTCATAGTTACCAGCTCTCACGGACTGTTTAGTGGTCCTTGCAACGTATTACTTGTGAAGACTAAATTCCTAGGGAACAATTTTTCACGAATAATATGGTAGACTTTGCCTGTGTATATGAAGGGCCCTGCCGGTCGAAAGAAACGCATAACTGACAAGTAAAAGTGCACGCAATCGAAAGCCTAAGCCGGAATAATCTTGTACATTAATTAGCAGTTTAACCTCACTTAGGTGGGAATAAAGCTATTTTATTTCAGTAACGGGTAAATACGGGTTCTATTAGACCTGCCACTCGGTCACCTGCTTTTAGCAATTTGCATTGACTTACCAATTGTGGTTACGACAGTACCGGCAAAGAAGAACGAACTACCAAATCCCCAACTCCTTTTATCGCTTGCGTTACCGAGTGGCGGTATTCCCATGTCTTGAGCCGCCACAACATGCTTCACAAAGTTTTCAAGTTCTTTGTCAGTAACACAAGGATGTTTCGCAAGAAAATCATCTCTTTTTCGTCTCAGATCTGACAGAATGCGTTGCTCGTAAGGTCCCTCGATCGACGAGAAAATGGCAGCTCCCACAGACAGGTAGAATATATACACGATCACTAGGGCTATCAGACGAATGTTGGCACGTTCCATGAACGAAATCTCTTTTCAAATGATCAGATGCAAGAGGCAACACGATTTCTTAACTGTCGATTCCTCGAAATGTGGTCGCCCCGAAAAGGGTTTTATGTTATCCGATCACATCTATATTTAGGCTGTTACCAGCCTGAGCGTCAACACGAAACCCGCTTATCACTTCCTTGCGTTCAATTGATCGTTGTGGAGATTTTTTCACTTTTGAAAGATTCTAAATGTCATAATCAGCTCATACATTAACATAACAATAGTCTTAGAGAAAACGAATATTGCGAGTTCACACAAAATCAACTACTTAAACTAGGAATATATTTGCATTCGTTGCCCTCTTATTCCGTGTAGAAGCACTAAAATAGGGTGAAATAAAAAAGCACTGCAAAAAATCAAGTCGCATTCATCCCAGTTTGAAGCGGTGAAACATGGAAATAATGAGTTGATACGTCTATACAAATATTACCATCATCATTTGCATAATACTAATCAGAAGTGCTTCGATGATATGAACACGTCACTCGCAAACTGACCTCTCTCAAGCCAAACATTGAAGAAGAAATGGGGGTGCAATTTTGACTGAACATCCTCTTAAGAGGGAGCTAACAGGAAAACCTTTGGTTAACTTAGCTTCCTAGTTCACAATGTAACAATACAACTTTGATACTAGTTAATAATTTTAATCAATCTACAATATTATAAAATCAAAGAATAATGATTTAATTGACATATTATAAGTCAATAAAACGTTGTTGTCGTTGTTAGTCTAAAGTTGCGACAGTAAACTAAATTGTCAGGTTCGAAATAATCATTTTTCTGAGCTCCTCTGGTTTCAAAGTATTCACGGTGCGATACTTCGCAGCAATTAGTCCGTAAAAGTGCTCTACCAATTGGAAAATTTTTCCTTGAAGTCATAGAAATAAGTTCCAACCGGAAATTTAACATCAATAGACAACAAAATCAAGAGTGTAATATGTGGCAACTCAGTTGCCTATCACATCCTTTATCTGTTCGACACAATCTACACTTTCACACCTAGGGTTACTCTTCTAAGTACTTGTTAAGTGCAGCAATGACACAGTTCATACGCGTCCAATCTTGACAACTGACTCCAAAGGATCGGCGAATTGGCTGATATTCATTTTTTCTCACCGGATATCAGATATGAGTCGGTTAATTCTCAGCCTCTGCATCCCCTTGGACAACCCCCCGGATATTTGAACTTTTGAAAATTGGTTTGTTGAAATTGTTCCCCTTTCCTAAGAACCTAGACCATGAAGACCTCTTCTTTTGAGCTAATCACTCCCACCCTAGCCAGGCAAGGTTAAAATTCCCAACACCCCAGGTACAGACAACGGTAAAATGCCTGTAGATTGCCCGGAAAGGGGGATGTTAAAGCTTCGAATCGATCGGCGCCGAACTCAATTCCTATTTTGCGCACGCAACTAAAATTGGGCTTTAATTTAATCGTCCGAGAGATTTGAAATTTTGTTCAGCGCCACATGATCTTCAATAGAATCGAGACTTTACGGTGACTGAGGTATTCGATATTCTGAATTGAACCCCTTCTTACTAAATCAACTTTATCCTTGTATTTGCCATTCACGTTTTACTTATAATGCTAAATATTTGTTAAAAAACCGACTTGTGACCACAAAATGCCGTAATATAAATTTTAACTTATTTCCCATCCAAAGGGGGAACTACCTAAATGCATATCAAGTACAAAGGTTATTCATAAGTCTATTTCTTTGGTAAATTAGCCATATTTTGGAATTTTTCATGATTTTGACCAAAAAGTAAGCAACGTAGCTTTCTGGGAGGTTGCTGCTGACTGCTGTCTTTTTCTTTTTCCTCTGGAGGTTCCCCTATCCACACCAGAGCCACTTCTAGAACTACACACAACGTTATCATCTTTTAATGATCGTCCTGGATTTTTCTCTGACGCTATTTCCTTTATAGTGGCCTTATTAAGGCACAAGTCTATGTGTCTGTTAAGTTCAGTGATAACGTCTTCACCACTCTTAAACTTTTGTTCTTGTTGGCATACAGGACAAAACACAGTAGAATGATTTGTATTATCAGAATATTCACTCAAGAAAATGGAACCTGAAGTTGAGGCAGAACCAGATAGTGACGATGATTCCTCTGAAATTGAATTTAAAGCAATACCTTCAGATGAGAAAGAAATAGGGCAGGAACCAAGCTGGTCAGTCATCTGACAAGCGTACGCTCCTGTCATGACGTCACCTTCTTTTGGACAGCATTGACTCGGTGAAGTAAGGCCAGAATGTTCTCCTGAGTTCAATTGTTGGGCGGTTGGGAAAGAAACTGGCATTCCCTGGGACCTTACATTTTGCTTTTGTTTCAAAAAACCTGTTATTGTGTTCTGCTTTGCTTCTTTTGACGAGTTTGCGCTTGTATCCTCAAGATTTGATAAACGGACTCCCATGAGGCGCAGCTTCAGATGATCAGGAAAACACGCACTCATTTCATGTTTCAGAAGCTCTTTTGCAACTAATGAAATTTCCTCGTACGTCGAAACGGGATAAACAGTGGATGAAGACCGAGATTTTATTTCAAAGGTCACTGTTTTAAGCTTTATCGTGACAGTCTTTCCTTTAAGTTTTTGCTTTTTTATATCTTGTGCCACTGATTGACAAAGCTTGTCACACATATCCAGTAGCTCAGTGGGTTTGCTAATCTCTGAAAAGGTTTCTTCTGTTCCTATACTTTTCCTTTTCGATTCTGTCGCAAGTGAGGTAGGTCCCAAACCAAGAGAAACTTCTATCAAGAATTTGAAGCTGATTGGTGAATGTAGAAGATAGAGCAAGTCTCGTTTAGTGTATAAATCTTCGCATGTCTCAATTCCAAGAGCTTTCAACATCTGTTCACTGACTCGCCCAATTCCACTCACTTTTCTGATTGGAAGGCTGCGCATAAATTCCATGATATCACCACGACTTGGTTTTAAATAAAACTGTCCGTTGGGCTTGTTACGATCTGAGCAGATCTTTGCTAGCATGGCATTTGGTGCTATTCCTGCGCTAGCTGTTAGTCTTGTCTTCTGCTCAATTCGAAAACGCAGCTCCCTGACAGCTTCTTCCGCATCAGTACCAAACTCAACAATTTCTCCCTCCATCTGTTTAGGGTCTGGATGCACTTCGTTCTTTACCTTTCCAATAGTCTGGTATTTAGATGTCAAGAACCTCCTCTTTTCTTGACATTTGTGTCTCTCACTGAGATGCTCTGTGAGATCCAAGTATGCTTCATCTAAACTTGCCATCACAAAATTAGGGTCATACTCCGCTAAAATATCTTGCACCTGGCGGCTGTATTCCTTGTATGTTTCATAGTGTGGTGGAACGATGATAAGTTCAGGACACAATTTCTTGGCGATAAACCCTGGCATGGCTGCCCTTACGCCATAACGTCTAGCTGGATAGTTTGACGTAGACAACATCGAGTTACCACCCACAGCCATAGGTTTGTCACGCAATTCAGGATTGTCCAAGATTTCCACTGCAGCATAAAAAGCGTCCATATCGATATGAACAAAGGTACGGCTTAAATCACGCTTCTTCTCCAACTCTTCCACAATAAGGTTGATGGCCTGTAAAGCCTCTTTTCTTTGCGGCTGGGTGAGTTTCCCAAGGGACGTGCTCTGTTTAGCGATCCGTTCAGCCACTTGCTTTTCTTTCTTTAATTCATTTTCATAGAACTTGGAGCCTCTACTCGCTTCAAATATGATCTGGTTAATTTTTTGTTTATCTAAACCTACCATGCCTGCCTTATGATCATTAAGCTCCATCCTGGAGAGGCTTTTTTCTTTGTTGTCGTTCTCGTAAACATCTTCTTTACCTCGCTGGAGATTTTCATTCCTCAAATTCTTCTCCGTTTGTGTATTTTTCTCTGAAGGATCGTTGTCATAATTTATCAAATGATTTTCTCCCCCAATAAACGTTTCAGCCCAATCGTTGGATTCATCTTCGTCCTCCAAATCATCGAAATTGTCCCCATTATAGAGGTTCCACTTGCCATCCGCCATATTGGTTTTAGTAACCAGGCCAAATTGTATTTCCCGCCTACTAGCATAATTTTGGCTTAAGTGATTCCGCATGATTAATTTACGATTGAAATTCCTTTTTTCACTTAAATGAACAATTGAAAAATCATCGACCAAATTGCATAAGAAGACTAATGATTGTGCTTCCGAGAAGTAAGTTATTTTTACAAATGTAGGCCGTGGATTGGAAAATAAAGGTAAGAGACCTGCACTGGAGCTCATTTAAATGCCAAGATTTATTTCTCGGTTTCATTAATTAGTAGATATACAAACTACGTAGGCATTATGTCAAATCTCTCTTGTGTATACCCCCCTAGCCCCCAGAGTCATCAACGCATAATAAGTATTTCTTATTTTAAATTGGACATTAAGTTTATTGATTTGTGTTCTATATGTTTAACAAATAGATTCCAAGTTGCCGTGCGTCTGTTCAGTAATAGATCACAGAGGACGTCAAAATGTGGTAAGAGTTGCAGACCTTGAAAGTAATAGCGATAGTCTTTAATCACACATCGGCAATTTCGATTACTTGGACAATAAAACCTGTTTCTTATACCTGCTTTGTGCTACGAAGTTAGGCGCGCAAATTTTTTCAATTTAATGCAAATTTGTGGGTGCAAGATAAGCTTCTAATTAAAAACCTCCAAACAATATCCCCAGGTGTTTCCTTTTCTTATTCTGCTCGGGGTTTCACTTCAGTATCAACCTGAGGTAAATCTGCGACTTTTATGGTTAACTTAGCCTATGTTGGGCTTGTTGTTGGCTGACAAGGGATGCTTAGGAAATCTAGTTTTGCTGTGACGTATTGTTGTTCACTGGAAAAATGGCGGAGTCTTCCTTAAATTGAAACAAATTAAGAGCAAGTAGAAGTCTCAAGTTCCTTTTAAGTTTAGTCATTTAGAGAAACCAGAAATTTTCAAAAATTTCAACCAAAGAACTTAGTCTACCTTTTACTCCTGCCCTGCGGTCTTCGGTCTGCATTTCACTCTCAGTCTGCATTTTACCCTTAGTCTGCATTTTACCCTCAGTCTGCATTTTACCCCCGGTCTGCAGTGTGCAGTGTGTTTTACACTGACTGCTTTAAGTGTGATGCTCAATGAGGGTGCTTATTAATTTGGAAATGTATCTTACCAGTCTTTTGGCCAAGAAAAACACTGCACATACCAGCCACAAATAATTTATTCACAAGTACCAAATTTGGCGATTAGTAATCTAAATAATATTAAAAATTATAAACCATGCTTAGGCACTTAACCAATGTACACAAAATGAAATTTTTGGGCACCTAGAGTAGTTTTTGTTAAGTAGGGGTGGGGTCTACAGTTGTTTAATATGATACTTTTTGCTCTGTATTAGTGAGTTTGAACACTGAGACACTGGGGTCATTTTTGAGAACAGTTGACTCTTTGGATATTGGCTTTACTGGGACTGTTTGATGAGTTACATTTTGTTCAAACAGAAAAATAGAGTGTCCAACATTTTCCTTTTCTTTATCGGGTTGGAAGCAAAATATGACTTCCTACCATGAGGGATGTAGTCACAACAATGAAGTGAGTTATTTTACACCCTTTAGAGAGTGGTGGAGTCTATTCATAGTATTCTAACATTTAAATTTAATATGCTTTATAAGTGTTATACAGAGAGGTGTCTATTTATGTCTATTTAAGTCCATAACATTTAGCAAGAAATTATTGTAAATGCATATAAATGAGAGGTTTGTTTCTGCTTTGGGCATCTTCATTTATTGTTGATTGCTTCACACACAATTGACACCATAATACCAGATTAAATTTCCACAAATATTCCCTAGCTTCATTCATTTAGTTAACAGTACACCATTAACTTTTGAAACTGAAAATTAAGTCAACAATTTCCTGAAGGCTGGCCTCCAAGTCAACCATGATTTGTGAGAGTTCACTTGGACAATTACCAGTAAGTAAATCTGTGTGGTTTTTCTGTAAGAGACAAAAAATACACCATAATGATTGTCTTGATTAATTCTCAAGGGGATCACAGTCAAACCTTTCTACTGTAGATACTGAACTGAAGGACAGAGCAAAGTGTTTGTATTGGGGAGGTTTCAGTGTTATAAAGGTCACTACCATGACATCACTTTTAAGATGCCATAGTTACAAAAACTAACTACAGTGCAATGCCACATCTAAAAAAGTAATTTTTAAGTTTCTGTAAATGATCTCAAATCCTTTAAACCCTAAGAGAGCCCACATCTAATTTCTCCCTACAGTAATACTGCTGAATGATTATTAATATCGTATGAGAATGAAGGAAATGATTGCCAACCTAAGAAGGTTTAATGTGAAACAAATTCTCCTTGTCAGTACCAAGGGAAATGGAGAAGATGAATGCTGATGTTAGGATGTAAAGGTTTAATATCTTATAAATACAGTGAACATTAGTTAAAGTAAAATTCAATGGATTTTTCTGCCTTCAAAAGAAAGTCTGTAGTGTTGTTCAGGCAGCTTTTACAATTCTTAATTGATGAAAAATAAATGATAATTACTCTTTTTAAGGATGACAAAAACTGTCATGGCTCTTATTTGGTATCCTTTTCACTGTCAGTGATTAAAAATGACAATTAACAGTCAACTGAATCAACTACTGCTGTAGTGGTTTCCCCTGTGAAGTAGCATCTGAGTAATTGAAGTTTTGTGAAAATAGATATAACTGGTAAACGAAAAAAGGGCCAGGCAGAGAACTGTCCATAATTGAGGAGAGTAGGAGAGGTGTCAATAGGAAGGGGTTCAATTATTTTGAAAACGTTATCTTTTATCTTTCTATCCATCACTAGAGCACAGGATGGTTGCTCATTGCTTGAGAGAAAACTTTCTTAGTCATATGAAACTCCAATTCACTTACTTTGGCCTTTGTGATAAGCTGCTTGAGAGTAAGTTTAGCTGACGATAAAAGCTGTACTGCTTCAGCTTTATTCTCCTTGCAATGAGTCACTTGAATGTAAACTGCAAAAAATTTACCACCAAAAAAAAATTGTTGAAACACAAAGGTATTGAGTCGAGTTTCCACTTCAAACAGTTAGTTGCAACTGGAAGTGCGGAGATCGTTTTCAGTTATTAGGTGAATTGTTTGTGGCTAGCTTCAGCCAAAACATAAAATTTGAGGACAGATTCACCCTGGAAACTGAGAGCAACTGAAAAGAAAGAATGACAGAGCACTCAAAAGTGTGTCCAAAAGTGAACCTCCATGTGTTCTTTATGCTAGGGTCATTATCCTACACTGACCTACATTCTCTCTTGGTTGGTTAGGTGACACCTTAGCTATCACATCAATAGAAGAGTTTAAAAATTTGGCTCACCTTGACTGAGCTTAAGAGTGAGTTCTGCTACTGCTTTAAACTGACTTACGTCAATCTCCCAGCCTGAAGCCTGGGTTCTGGTACGATGAGCCTTCACAAGGAAGTTTAGCGCCTGAGAAAATAAATTTAAATACATTATTAACCTCTGGAGCTTTGAAGCAATTATTACAACATTAGAGGGCAGAAGAGACATCTTAAAAATGTTTGCTTTTACTGATCCCTTTTTTATTCCAATTTTGCTGCCTGGATTTAGCTTCTGCTCCCAGCTTCTTTCACGTGGTGCCACAGTAATTCATGAAGAATGAATTCACCATTCAGTTTGTTCACTGCTGTTTGACCCTTTGAGTGACTTGGTGATCTCATGGTCTACTCATGTTTTACCCTCCTCCTTCTTTTAATTCTCAACAGATGTTTCCCCAAAGGTGAAAACTATTTCTAAAGCAAACTGTACAGGAACAAGTTCAATTGCAAGATGCCCTCAATCAATTTTACATTGTAGAGTTTCCACAGACCTTTTCTTTCTCTTCCTGAGACTCGCCATTCCAGTAGAGGTCAGAGTAGAGCTTCCACAATTCAGAATTGTTGGTTACCTTGGGCAGAACAAACCAGTGATCTATTAGATCAACAAACCCTTAAAGATCACCTTAAGAACAGTTTTTGACTTGATTATCAAATCGAGACAAATACTCTTGCTACCTGAGATGTTTGTCTTCCCATTAGTTCGAGCAGCTTCAGTTTAAGATAAGATGCTGAAAGTGAAAAAATCATAGCTTATCATGTGTTCTTTGTTACTTTCCTCTTTTGTATTTACAGTAGGGAATTAGGGGCAGAACATCTAAAATCACATACAATTGAAAAGGAGTGACACAGTTGAAAGTTTGGATTCTTTGGATTTCTAAGTGCACCACACAAAGTAGCTTAACCAAAACCTGCATGCTAGATAGTAGAAAGAGACAGTGGGATTGAATCACATTCATTCATTCATGTGCATCACTAATGAGATAACAAGGTATTTTGGTAGTGTTTTGCAATTAGAAACCTTGGAGTAGAGGTTCAACCAGAAGATGTGCTATTGACAAAGGGTCCAAATGTTTTTTTTAATTGGAAATAAGGGTTTCACAGAGGGTCTTTACCCACTGCAATGGCTGGAGGATGTTCTTAGTGGAAAAGAGGGCAAGCATCACAAGGTCCTCTCTTGAGCCTAGTCTGGTTATCCTGGACGTTCTCATCGATGGGACTTCTTTACCGAGGAGATGAAGCAAAGAGAGTTATAGTTACTACCATAGTTTACCTCTGTTTGATTGTAATATGAGACATCATAGTGAACACAACAATTACATCTGCAAGGAAAAAGTCCAGAAAGTAAAGATTATTACCTGGTTTTTCATGATTGTCCAAAGTTCCCTGGTTCACAGCTTTCACCAGAATGCCCAATATCTAAAACGAAGACAAAACTAAAGTTAAAACCTCACCTTAGCATCTACCTTGGGGACAGAGTCCTAAATGTAACCTTTATTTGGACAGAGAGGTCTAATTTAACACATTTTTTCAAATGCTAAAACATTTTTAAAATTCTTAGCAGGCCATTGTAGAGACCGAGGTCATTTTGGGAAAATCTATAGGCCAATTTTATGCGAGAAATTGAAATGAAGGATGTGTGGACCATCTGCTGGACAAAATGCAGCTGGCTGTTCATGGAAGTTTGATTGTATATAGTATTGCTGAACACATTAATTTACCAAAAACTGAAATTTTTAGGCCTTCTTAGAGGAAATTCCACACTAACCTCTGTATCACAGTACTTATCCCGCAGATCCATCATACGATGATATGCTGAAATTGCATCATTAAATGCACCAATGTCAACACTAACCTAAAACAGAAGTACATAACCTTGTGTATCTTTTGCTTCTCTTGTTCATTTACTCTAGGGGGACTTACACATTACTTCTCTTTTAAAAATGAGTTTTTTGCAAGTTCATCACTAAGCATTTTTGCATGCATCAAAAGTTAAGTATGATAGTTCTTTGAGCAAAAATGTAAAACTAAAAAAAAAGAACAAAACATTGTAACTATGACAAACTGAGCAAATGAGACAGACTAAGATAGAGTTAAATAAACCTTCAAATGGTGAAGCATTAGGAAGAGTACATCTTTGCTCACTTAAAGTACATGTACTGTCATCACAGGTTTTTTAATGTATCAAAGAGTACTGTAGTTTTGTTGTTTTAAATGCATTTAGCAAAGGAAGGACAAAGAAAACAACAAAATAAAAAAAAAGAAAAGGAAAAGAAAAGAAAAATAGAGGGACAGAAATGTTCAATTAATTTACCACTAAGAAATTTTCCCACATGTGCCAGCTCTCATAATTCACTTTCAGACCTTCCTTGAGAGCAAGATGTGCTGGTGGTCTACAATTACAAAAAAAATTCAATCATGACATGATAGATTCACTATCAACTGTTATATTGTTCTTAATAATTGTAACATGTGAAATGGCCTTCCAAAGTCTCAATCCATCAAACCTTTCTCTCACTTAATTATACCTAATTATTGTTATTTTTCGGTTGTTTGTTAACTTATAGTCATTGGTTGGAAACAAGAATTGATGTGGCCTCCAAGGAGTGGCTTAATCGTACTGACCCCAGTCTGTGCTGCATTATAAAGGGATTATGGAGACCACAGGCTGACATGTGGCTTAACCTGCATTTTTAAGGCTCTACATCTCATGTTGTTTTTGATGTTTCATGATTCTTATCAAGTGTTCACATCACTTACAATATCACAAAGCAAACAAAATTTCTTAACTTACTTCTGGCCTCTTTTGATGTAAACATTGGCAAGATTATTCCATGCCTCCCCATTCTGTGTAGATAATTTCCTTAGTAGATATACTTAGAAGCACAATTCAACTGCAACATAAAGCTATTTGAAAAATGATAAATGACTTTCTATTGGTAATCTCAAACATACCCCACCATCAAGTGACACACAACGATGAAATGCTTTGGAAGCGAGTTCTAAATTTTCTGCAGCCATTGCAGCACAACCAAGGGAAAACCATACTCCTTCCTAATTAGAGACAAATTAAAATGTTATTGATCACAACTATATTGGTTTCTGTTGCTAAAAGCAAACAAACTATTATTTGCTTCACCACAAAGCACTCCCTACACTTAGACATATTCCACTTGAAGAAATAAGCACCCTGATTGGTTAAAAAACCTACATTTATCATACTGGTAAACACACAGTTTATTTCATAAAAGCAATAGACTGCATTTTTTATCTGTGGCATTGATTAAAGCTTCCCACAAAAAATAGTGTAATCAACTTGCAACATACCTGTAATGAGTTGATTGCCAGTGACTTCTGGAAGCATGGTATTGATTTGCAGTACTGAAAGTGTGACACAAAACACTTCTATTAATTTACACCTCATGTTAATTCCTCTGGTCCATCTGTGTTTTTCATCTGAACGACTCACACTTGAAAACATGACTAAAAGTATTCCAAAGAAACAGAGTAGGCTGGTTTACTAATGCTTTTTTTTTTTAAGATAATTTTTATTCCTCCTCTTTCTCTGTGCCTGTGAGATAAAACTAATGCATTTAACTGCTCCTACATGTTGAGAGAAGAGAGAACTGCAAGGAAACATTTTAAGAATAATTAAGTATCAACCTCTTTAGCTCTTAAATGTAGATATCCCAGAGATCTTTGAGCTCTAGAATTGTGGTGCCCTGATAGTTCCCAGGCTTTCTCATAGCAAGTAGCATCCTGCAATGATAGATGTGATACAACACCTTCAAAAATTTCTGTTGACACACAAGTTTAGGCCTTTCACGACCCATCCATAAACAGGTTTTCCCATTAAACCAAGCATGTTTTGGCCACAACTTTGGAAATTATCCCCCTTGCATTGACATAAGTTTAGTGCACTGTAACTATTGACATTGGAGGTATGTGCGAAGGGCTGCTAGTTAAAACCAGGTGCTTTGGATCCACACTCAGTCTCACAGAGTTGCTTTGAGTGTGCACTGAGATTCAAATTTATCAGTATTTACCTCATTCTTTTGAGATCTCATGCTTTTCAAAGCACTGCTTGTGTTTTGTGTTGTATTTTTTTTCTTATCAAACTTTAAAAATAAAGGTAAATTACCATCATATCAGTACCAGACAAAATCCCCAAATAAACTATAATTTGCACATATAAAAAAAAGATAAATTGAAAGAAAATGAGGAAGGCCAAACAAAAGAATTTAGAATTTCAGGGTCACCATGGAATAAAATGGATATCAAAGCCCAAGATCAGAACAAGTGACTGTGGATGCCCACCCAAGCTGTGCTCCTTAGAGGAGTAAAAGGGGATAAGGAAAGAGTAAACTCTACTTATGGCTAACAAGGCAAAAGTGACATATCCAAACTGCTGAATAAAATTGACAATACCACTATTATTATTACAAGTATTTCTGTATTATTTCTGTGTTACTGTACCTTTAATATATCACCTAAAACACACCATAACAGTGCAGTTTCCTTTACTTTAAGCTGATCTTTGATAAGAGTTTCTGCCTAGCAAGAAGGGCAAAGCAAAATATCAAATAATAAAAAGCATGACCCTGCTGAAAGAGTAAGCAGCCAAGCAAAAACATAGTACCTTGAAAAGTTTTAAAGTATGTTTGTCAGCAGAGCTCAATACCGATGTAGGTTCCTATATTAAGGTGCACAATAAATATTCCTTACCTTTGCATACCACCCTAAGTTCTGATAACAAAAAACAACATTCTCCCAAGAATGCAATCGTTGAAAAATTTCCAGCGCACTTTTCACCACACCCATATCAAGAAGTATTTGTGCCAAGTCTTTCTGAAGAAAGGAATTAGAAATAAATATATTTACAAAGGTCAACTCCAAACCTTTTCTTTTGGTGGTATAAAAGTTTTTCACACTAAATTAGACCAGAGACATATAACCTAGAATGTGTGCTTCTGTTGTCGAGGTAAACATGAAAAGCTAGAGCCCATTTACTCCACCTGATGCACCTGTAGATTTTTGCCAACACAACAAAGAGTAAACAAGAGGAAGAAAGTGAGGTCCACCATATTTTAACATGTCAGTTGCCCAGCATCTATTTAATCTTCTGATATGATATTTGCATTGTCACAGCTTTAGTGCATCAAGGAACATGGCTGGTTTACTATCATGCTACAATGTATTAGTATCTAGACAAAATCCTTTCACCTGAAAATTCCACTTGGATGGAAAAGGCACACAATAAAACAAAGATTGCCTCTCCACAACCTGAAATGTTGGATGATAAATTACCAATAATATAACATGTAAATGAACTACCATGCTGGATAAGACCATGGGAAAAAAATCAATTTACATCATGACAAGCATTAAAATTGCCATTTACAGGGCAGTATCATATCAAGTTCCATGCAAAATAGAGGGAACATAACATCTATCTTAAAATATGTCGGGTGGTTCTATTGTGTTAAAAAGAAAAAATGAAGGGTGCTGTCATTGACTGGGTGTACAGAAACAAGATGTAAACACTCAAAGAATATTGACTGACCTTTGGAGAGGGATTTTCGATGGCGTCGACAAGAGTCTACATGAAAGAAAGTAAATATCAGTGTATTTAATCTTAAGTCATCCTTAATTTGAATACCCTGGCGGCAGTATATATGACACCTACTCACCTGTAACTGCATCATGGACCTCTCTATTCTCCTTTTAGAGTCCTTTTCCAATTTGCTTCTCATCAGTAATGCTGTCATCTGTACACACCAAGCCTTGGGATCACAGGTGACTGCCTACACAACAGAAAATAACCTATTGTAATTAATTTGCAAAATTTTCACTAAAATAATTTGAAATTATAGAGCTGATATGGGATCAGTTGAGTTTTCCAACAGTTACCCCTACATTGAATAATTTCAATACAATTATGATTACATGTATATATTGCAGTTGGCTGAAAAGGACATCTACAGTTTCTAAGATTAATTTCTTCTCTCTATCAGGAACTCTACTTACTAACAACTTCCCATAAATGGAGTGTGTAGGGTGTCATGTGCCAGACACTCTGTGAGCTCTTATTAGAGCTTCCACTGTAATAAATTTTCAGTTAACGAGGGCAGTGTCCCTTCTTTATTATAATTTATTCTTAATGATAGACATTTTTTTATCCAAAAAAAATAATGATACTCCCTTCTTCTATATTTCTTTTGCCTCTTTCAGAAAAAATAGGCAGCAGAGAGAAGTAAAAGTTCACCTCCAAATATGCCAGTAAGGTTTCCTTGTCGAGTCTTTGAACAGCCTGACTCTTTTCATGTTCATAACTACAAATAATAACCACAAGGCAAGACACTATATAAGTCTCAATCAGTTGACGAGTTTAGGCCCTATTTCCTCAGCTCTTTCTTTTTTATACTCCAACAATAAAAATTGCTCACTTGCTTGTGAAAAGAAATGTGATGTGGTTCAACACCAGGGTTTGAAATAACTAACAAGAAAGCAACACCAAACATAGTCTTGCTTGAATCATTTTTGGCTAGTCAATTCTCCTGCACTACTTATCATACACTGCATTAAGTTTGACTCCATAAGAAATGAATATTAAGTGTGTTTTTAATTTTGTTGTTTGCAGCTTGTAACACTATCACTCTTCTATGAGGCATGCGGGAAAGACAACTTCTCAATCTAACACCTTCCATGCTCAAAGTACCATTTTAAGCTGCAGAGACCATTAAATTGAAGCTGGTTTTACACTTCTGCATTTTTTTTAAAGTGAGATCATGGCCTGAATCTTCTTAGGTTTGGAGCTTTGGTTCAGCTCTTTCATTTGTGCCCAACAATGCAAGTGAACATGATATTCTCAGCAACCAGCCCTTGTAAAGAATAATGAGGACCATTCACTCTTCAATAGCAGAAGAATTAGAAGCTCCCATTCTAAACTTTGCTACATTTACATATTATTGACATTTCCAATGCATTTAGAAAAGTTCCCTTGCCTAGACTAAAGCATTCATCATCACCCTGCTTTATGGGGATTCACAAAACAATATCCACACTAAAGAATTTAATGACATGAAGTTACTTCTTAATTTTGTTAATACTGGCTGTGATGTCAAGCCATAACCAATTCAGGAATCACACTCATGCCTCTTACTGGCACACTGCTTGATAAAGACTCTGTTCCAAGCTAATAAATTTAGCCACAAGATTGACCCTTGGATCAAAGACAAAGTAGGCTCTTTAGAATCAACGTATAAAGAAGACATGTTACGTTAGTCCCAAAATGGCAGCCTGATCCAGTGGACTGAGAACAGTTCCATTCTTATTTCGAAGATCTTCATCTTTGAGTTGGATTTTATTCAGAATGGTATCATCAGCCAATGGAACATCCTGAAAGGAAAAAAGGGAAGCATTAGTCAATGGAAAGACTTGCTAAAGAAATCTTAGTCAACAAGTTGTACTTGAAAAAAATCTTATTTGACTTTGATTTGATAATGATTAAAAAACTCATCTCAAAGGTAAACTGCAATTAACATGCAGTCATTAATGCCACATTAATGAAAAATTGAAGTTTTAATTAAAAAAGGCTTAACACTTTAAAATGCAAGTTTACAACAAACAGTGTGGCTTAAAGTTAGTAACTCTTCATATTGGCACTATCTTCTCTTACTAGGAACCCTGATTACAATCTGGCTGAAATTCCCAAATGTCCTTTTTTTCTCGGGGAATTTTATTTTAGATGAAAGAATGCAATACCCAGCAACTGTTCCCACTTACTCTAGGAAGGTTTTCTTTATAACACATATCTGTAGATTTATCTGCAAGAATAAAATGTAAACTTTAAGTTTTGGTTAGTAATTAAAAAGTGCTACATGTTCTGTTTTAAGGTAGAAAATTGAGTTCTGAAAAAAAGTAACTACACTGGAGAGCTATTGTATAATATGTAGTAACATGACCCAAGAATTAACAAAAAAACATGCTTGTTTTCTTATTACAGACTAGTAATACTTAATTTTCACCATATCTTCTGTTCCCTCACTTTTCAATAATATAAATCTTTCATTATAGAAGAAAGAACTCTAATAAGTTTGGAGAAGGAGACTTTTTTGGGTAACTTGTTGGTTAAAATGAAATGTTATTAAAAAAATGTGCAAGAACAGAAGATCTTTACTGCTGGCCTTCAAAGCAGGGTGTGTTTGGCAGCCAGGAGATGGCTCCTTAGCTTCAGAGGTAACATACCAAGCTATCCTTTTTTTTCTTCGAAAAAAGTTTTCATTATTCAGTTATTAAATGACATTCATTTTTGTTATTCAGTGCAGAAACATGATATGGGAACACTTGGTATCCAGTTTCATCTTTACAATTTGTTATGAAATAAATTTTATTTGACCTGCAGATTGAAAATCAACTTGAGCCATGATCCTTGCAAGTGAGATGCAATTTAATGATCTTGAAATTGATTTCCTAACAAATTTTATCAGATTCCTCTACAGGAAAGAAGCCCCCTCTTAAGTGTGTCCCCCTTCCACCATGTGGCTTTGCTTTTTTTCCCCTCACTATATGAACAAATTTCCTTTCCTTAGGTTTCTTCTTCTCTTCCGTATACCAGTATATATGTGCACACAGGCACTACTATAATGTCTCCTAGGCCAGAAACCCTGTGATGGCGATTATTTCCCACTGGGAATTCAGACAAAATAACTTGTGAATTAATCACCAGTCATACCTGAATCTGGGACTTTCCTAAGTCTGTATGCAAGTTTAAGGCAAAATTCAGTCATGCCTTACAGTACCTGTTGGAATGCCAGTGATGCTCTCATCTTTATGAACCAACACAATTAATTGAGAGCAATCTTTTTCTTGAAATCTTGTCCTTTTTCCAAGGGCACCTGATACAAAATAAAAAAAATGCTAAAGATTCTTCTCCCTGATCATCAATTTAAAACAATCCACAAAAATGACATAGCAGTACTGTTGCATGTACCTGTAAGCTCAACTTGTAAACCTAAAATGGACTGAGCAGCTGTGAAATGTTCCTTGGATAAATGTGATATAGAAAAGAGGAGAAATTGTGGCAACTAAGTAAAATACTAGTAATAAGTTAAGTTGTTCAATCTAGTTCACAAAACCCTGTGTTTGTAGAATATGAAACAATGGACACTCTGAATGTCAGTTGAAGCATTCATCCACATTCAATACAGAAGCATCCATTATGTATACATAGGTGAGTGGTAAATAAAGATACATTTTTTTTTTTCAAAAATTGTATTTTGTGCAAATCATTTCCTGCAGGATTCCTGTTTTCTCAATTAACCCTCCCATAAATACTGGGTTGGTTTACTGGATTCCACTGAATTTGGTAAAGTTAACATCCACAAGGCTGGGAGACCAAGACAAACTGAGGGACCATGAAAGGGAAATTTGACTCCCTGGAATACAGATCTTGACCACTTCAGGGTAGCCCCACTACATTACAGACTGCCCTCTCTACTACACAAACTAAATTTGCTCCACCCCTTTACTCTGAGTCCATATTAGGAGGTTCTACTGTACAATGTTAAAATTTATATCCTGCTTGAATTTCAAAGCCTTTATTAGGCATTTTGAAATTTTTTTTGTTCATTTTTCTATTAAATTCAAGACTGAAGTCAAAAAATAATTTCATTTGACTGTGAGATGACTGTTGGTATTGGATCAAGCCTATTCTACCACTGCTTCAAGAAAATTATTTCAGTGAAAAGTTATCAATACCCTGGCGCTTTTGGTGTCATAGTAATAAAGATACAAGTATCCAAATTCAAGGTGGATCTGGCTTGCAATGCTCCTAAAGAAAAATGTGTAGATTTATTGAAAAAAATAAATAGTTTAGAAAATGTATCCACACGTTAGTGCTCACTTATGTATCCTTAGGAAACTTAGCTTAACGTGGGAAACCCCACATACTACTATGTTTATACAACATAAGATGCTAAAGCCCTTGGCCTTGACATTGTATTGTGTTGTTGGAAAGGGCAATTAACTCCCATAGAGCCTCTTTCCACCCAAGGCCATAAATAGGAAAAAACAGTCTGTCAAGGAAATCTAAAAATGCTGGGAATTAGGTGACCATCAGTATGATGGTCTGGTATCCTACCCAGGGGGGAGTAACAATAATACTATGCGCTGAAACTGATATTAGCTCTCACATGACAGACAGCCAACAAGAAGGGGTGGGAGCATAACATGGTGTATCTACTTACCCAAAACATCAATTTCCATGTTATATAGTATTTGTTACAAACTACCAGGAAAGCATCTTTTCAAAATTCTGAATCTATGTTACAATTTCTTTGGTTTACATACATATATCTCAAGTTAAAAGACACTGACGCTTTACTAATAAGACAATATATGTACTTCATTGAACCTAAATATATAGTTACATCTATTCAGCACCTGCTTTGTTCTCCAGAAAGTAAGGTTGAGCTCTCTTGAACTGCAAAATGTTAAAAATAGACAGTCATGGACTGCATGTGGCTACTGGCACGGCACAATTTTAATAGCATCAAAATTAACTAGAGGTGGTATAATGATGCTAGAAGGTGGTGTTGCAGAGTATTTGTCTCACATGCAAAACAGAAAACCTGTTGTATCCCACATAGTATAAGCACCCTGTTCCACAAGAGAAAGATAATTCAAGAATACAATGTCTAATTGACATTCAACCAATAATAAAATGGTAACAAAAATAATTATGAGTCGATGGATCCCACTTTGAAATTATTTTGAGATGTTTATTGTCTTTTGTGTCACTTTTGTGTTACTTTTACGTCATTTTCTACACAAAAAGAAAAACAGTTAAGAGGATCACCCAGAAAAACAGACAGATTAATTTAAAATTTTGTTTTTGGCTGAATTATACCTGTAATTGTTTTTTGGAAAATGAGGCCAAAATATTTGAGGCACATATTGGACTGTATTGTTAATCCTATCCACTCATATTGTGTCTCACTTTTTAGGAAAATAAAGAACTCCTTTTTACTATTGAATAAGTTTGAGAAAACTGTTGAGGGAAAATTAAAATAAAAGGAGAATTCTGTACAACAAACCTTTATTCATCAACATGAAAATCTTATTCTTCATGAAATCATGTCTTTCATTTGAGAGTTGTCTCTGTACTGCTAGACATCTCAAGGCCCACAGGGAAGCAGTCTGAAAAAAAGTAGCAATGGGTAATGGGTAGAGACAGAATAAACACTTCAAATTAATGCCTTTAATGTACAACCTTCAAAGAATTCATCTTGAGGAATGGCCACATAGAGCAAATGTAGTCACTTTGTTTTGGTGGATTCTATGAATGACATACCCTCAATGAATCAGACAAATGGCAAGGAATAAAATACTGATTAAAATACTGGCCCCCATGCAATCTTTTGACTTCCCAAATGGACTACCATACAATAGACTGGACTAGCCCTTTGAGTCTTTTCCAAACTCTTGGTGCTGCTTATACACTGATGTTTACAGTAAATGGAACATCACGCAAACAAGACACCTTTCATCCCCACAAAAAGATAAGATATTCACCAAAGAGAATATGGATACATGTAAGCTTTTGTGCTGAAACCAGTTTGACTCCAATATCATCAGACTTAATTCAGTTAAATTTATCGTGGGATAGTATCTGATGATACACTGAGTGACATCAAATTTTACCTGGCAGACAGTCAAAGACTCTTCAAAATCAACTAAGACTATCTTGGCAACCAACAGAAATAATAGACCTTCCATCAATGGATTATTAATGAACTGAAAAACCAAAGACAAATTGTTAGATTAACATTAAAACACTATAATCCTTAGCACATTATCTTTTGTCTCCAGATGTAGTCGCTTTCAATCTGGAGCACAGTGTCTCAACAGCATGCTGCTAGTCTTCTTTGGGTGATTTGGTCAATTGGAAACATGGTAATTTGAGAAACACTATGCTCTGCAGTGGTGGGTTGCTTTTCAACAGCTGTGAGGGGTACATTTCAAAATATTTTTCCCATTACACAGCTCTCCCATTGTTGTGTTTGATCTTGGTCTTGGTCATGAATGTGAATTTCAGGAATTTCAATTCCACTACCCCAAGTACAGTAAAATGCTATGCGATTGGCCTTTTTCACTCTGCAATTGTCTAATAATAAATTCTTATCCACTGGATAAAGATTTATCCAGCAGATAATGTTATCCACCTTTTTGAAACAGCCAAGGTCAGGTCAATAGGTTGAAAGGTGCAAGGTGCAAGGATGCAGTTACCTCTCCATCCTTGCTCAGTCTTGTTACAATTTGTTGATTAGAACAATCATGAGGCAGAATGGAAGATAAAGGATGTACTGGGCCAGTCCAGTTACACTGGATGAAAAGGTCTAAACATGCCACACCTGTAAAAAGGACCAGTGCATGTCTGCAGAAAAATAGAGTTTAAAAAACAATGTGATCAGTCTTGAATTCTTTGCTGCACATTATACCTTAGTTTATTACCTTTCAGGAAACTGAATATTTATTAGACTGTGATAGACAATAGGTACATACAGTAGATTAGACACTGTATGGTTGTAAACAGAATAAAAGAAAAAAACTGAAAGATTACTAGACTGAAATAAACACTGAGTAAATAGAGTAGACAATGTAAGGTTGTAAACAAAATAAAAGAAAAATTACATGCATGTCGCGTTAAGTTTTGAATGACTGGTGGATTTATACAAAAATAATTAGATTACATAGAAGCTATATGATATATTATTCAAATACATTTTCCTCACAAGACACTACCTACAGAAAAATACACAAAAAGTTGATTACAATGGTATCTATTATACATTGGTGTCACTATCTCAATTTTTAATTGACTACAAACATGCAGCTTTTTCTTACTGGCTCTGTTTTGTTATGTCACACGTACTAACAATAGCTCGATATATGTTGACATTATGTTTCATTTAAAGACAATAGTTTAGACAATGCTGCAGTTGTATTTTGCTGTTATATTCCCCTCTGGTTAAGCAGCAAGTGTCAAAACCTAAAAGACAGTTTTTCTATTCCATTCCAATTGAGATAGACCTTTTGGGGCTCAAAATGATAAGAGAATAATAATTTGAAAACAGTGAAAATTTAAGTGTCATTTATCTGCAGTTCAATTATATGATATTCTTATATTCATAGTTGTTCATTCATCACCACACAGGTTTATTACAAACCAACAAAATGACCAGCTCCCAGTTGGCTAGTTAGCTCAATTGGTGAAGCACTGCACCAATATCGCAGAGGTGACATGAGTTCAACTCCCATAAAGGCCTTAAATTTTTCCAAGTCTTATTTTCAAGTGTTCAAGACTGCAAATATCACCTTTATCTTCATTAAACAATACTTAAAAGATTCATCAAAAGCCCTCTTGGAACTAACTTGTCTGTTACATAGGAATTGATCTTGCTAGCAAATTACATATTAAATTACATATTAAATTAATTAAATTTTAAAAAAAAAAACTCAGACCAATTACCCTCTGGAATTGATATTTTGCTAATAGAAAGCAGGGATACATGAATCTCCTTCACCAAGTAAAGAACAGTTCAGGGTAGAAGTTTATATCACTTTAAATCCTTTATCCCCTTAGGGTGACAAGCTTCTCATTCCACCTTACAATATCATCCTTGAATAAAATATACAGAGCAGGGCCCAGTTGTTTGAAGGCTGATTGGTGCTACCCAAGATTCCCGGTTTCGTTATTTCTTTCTTCAAAAGCCTTTTTGGGATAACATGTTCTCTCCTTTTAAGAATATCCAATCATCAAAATGTAGACAAGACTAATTATTCTAAAATTTTCTTTGGAGCTTTCAGATATGAAATCAAGTTTCACACTTATCCTGGGTTATCATAATCCAGCTTTGAACAACCCGGCTCAGGAGAATAGAGGAAGCGATCACCAATTAAAAAAAATTTCTCCTAATCAGTACCACAGGAAATGTAAAGAGAACAGTGTGGAGAATATGAATTTTAATGTTAAGGTATAAAGGGTTAACTTAAGACCCAAAACAAAAATAGTGAAAAATTAATTGAAAACTTTCTGAACAACCACATAAAATGGTTGCCAGTCTGGCAAATTCTTTGAAAATTCAGTTTCCAGAATGTTTGCAAGTTGCCACAGCAACCATAACAGTTACAACTTAGAGAGTTGTAAAAAACATCACTAACCTTACTAGTGAGTCATCTTGTAAAAGAAGAGTGGTCTCCTGGATCAGCTGTTTATTTTCTGGTTGTAAAATAATAACAATGTTGTTGGTCTTGAATCTCACTTTCATAACCCTATGAGCTTGGTATCTACCCCTGTATCTGACCTAATCAAAACTAAATCAAAATTCTCCCTTGTGATTAGTCATTGCTTGCCAAATTTGAGCATTAATAGGACATTGTATGCATTATACTTCACAACTGGACAATGCATATCATGTGTACATGCTGTTGTCATACATTTTGCTGAGTTACCTGTTGTTTTTTCCATGAAATATAGGGATGGCTAGTATGTTTCTTAAATTTTGTCACAGTTTTGATTAATTGGTAACAGGACTTCCAGTTTTTGAATTCTTCCTGTAATCATACTCAAGATTCACAAATCCAACTCCTGCAATTTTATTATCACTCACATGATTACAGACCGAATTAGAATACACTCAGTCCTTCTAAAATTGCAAGGGTGCCATTTCTTTTAAAATCTTATTTCAGCATCATTCACCAGAATACCATGACAAATAATTTATAAATACATGTATTGGGTAACACAGGACCATGTTTTAAGTTCTAATGACTTGCTTTCTTGCTGAGAAGGCAAGGTACATGTCTGGATTGGGTAACCAGACATTTTGCACCAAAGACTTTTCACACAAGTCTTTTAGCACAAGTTTCGGACCGTTCGCACAATTCTTACTGGTCATTTCGCACAATAATTATAACTGAGAAACATCAATATAAAAGGTATACTGATTGATACTGATAAGACATTTCACCTTCACAAGATCCAATGGTGAGGATGTAGACATTTTTTTACGTAATAACTTCAACTAGATTGAAACGCTTGTGAACACGATCACTATTCTTACTTGAAGAAAGGAAAGGTACAAATCTCTCTCTCCATGAAAATGTAAAGAACTCCCTATTCAAATGACTACTTCTATAACTTTTCCTTCATTGAATGAAAAATCTTTTAGTTTTGACAGTATCATCCACTACAAATATGCAAACATGATGATCCATGCTAAGGACACCATGTTGATTTCGAAAGTAATTGTCACTACTCTTCCCTCCTTGTTCGATTGTCTTCAAACAGTATGTTCTATTGATCTATAAGAGTTTCAAATAAAGCTATTGAAAACTTGCTTCCTATATCTTCGTTATGTAATGAAAATTAAGCATACCGGTAATAAAAGATTATATGCTAGCCGTTCGATAAGTAATCATATAAGCTTAAGATCAAAACAAATTAAGAAATCTAGATGTAATATAGCTTAAATGAATGTAGGAAAGGGCTAAATTTCTACGAGTCTTGACTGAGTAGTGAGTTAAAATATGCATGATTTGTCGGGTAATGTGGTGTGAACTTGAATTTTATATATTTACAGATATTTTATAAATAGGTCTTTTGTCCTTTTAAATAAAAAGTGAAACAATTTGCAGGTTTTTACTTTGACTTCAGAGGAGGGAGGATTGGTGACAATTACTTTCAAAATCAACATGGCATTCTTAGCGTTGGGTTGTTATTTACATTTGTATGTTTGTAGTGGATGATGTGCTGTCAAAACTAAAAGGTTTTTCGTTTAACAAAGGAAAAGTAATAGAAGTAATCGTTCAAATAGGGAGTTCTTTATGTTTTCACAGGAAGAAAGATTTGTTCCTCTCTTGAAGTAAGAAATAGTGATCATGTTCACAAGCATTTTGATTTAGTTGAAGTTATTATGTAAATAAATGTCTACGTTCTCGCCGTTGGACCTTATTGAAAGTGACATGTGAAGGTGAAATGTCTTATCAGTATCAATTAGTATACCTTTTATGCTGATGTTTCTCACTCATAATTATTGTGCGAAATGACCACTAAGAATTGTGTGAACAGTCCAAAACTTGTGCTAAAAGACTTGTGCGAAAAGTCTTTTGTGCAAAATGTCCTGTATTCCTGGATTGCAGTAAGTGCCACAAAGATGTTGTACCATGAAATTCCTTGTACTTTTCAGTTTCATATTTTTTTCCTAGAGTCCTCAAATAAACCCAACCACCAAGTCTAAATTGAGTACAACATTTATTCAAAGATAGCATTGACAATTACTTTAAATTTTACTCCCATCTGTAGAATTGAATTTAAGACAGCCCTTGTGCAATTAGAGCAGCACTAAATCAACTTGTTCAGGGCCTGTTTACATGGAGATAGAGGACCCCAGGTAAATGAAGTAACCTGCTCAGCTGTGGGGGAGAAATAGCCTGTGTTTATATATAATGTTACAACCATGCGATTCCAGGTAAAGTTTCTTGAGGTTGTTGTTACACCTGCAATTAGGGAGTATAAGATATCACCACAGCAACATGGTAGCTGACAACTGCTGCTACCAAGTCTTTTTATCAGCTATTCGTTCTTATTGTTGTTTTGGAAATAGGCTTTTTATACTTCTTATGATGTTTTTAATGTTTACCTGGTTAGTGCTTGTGTATTTTTTTTCTTAAGGGCACAGTTAATTTGGAGCCTTTTTTAGGTCACCACTCACACTATTTGTGTCCTGCACCTTTGCCTCTCTTTCTTGTGACCTCTTCAAATTTATTTTTCCTCCTAGTCTTATTTTAACATTGTGATCATAGTGAAAGAAATTAAATAAATAAATAAATAAATAAATGTGTTTAAACCATTTCTGATGACTTCACTTGGTGTTTTAATGTTTTTGTTCTGTATAGGATGGCTGAGAAATGTACACAGTTTTAGGGCACAAGTGTTTCACTATAATTTAGCTAATTTGACCTTTTGTCACATGAATGCAACCCTGGCTGGGCAGGTCACCCCACCTTGAGTCATTTACATGGCAAATGATAACCCAGGTTGACAGGTTACCCTATCCAGCAAACGGGGGAACCCACTTAAGCATGTTCCCACCTATCATGTAAACATGACCATGATAAAATAAGAGATTATATGGATAGGTGGGTTACCTTTTCTAGGCGGGTTACCTCATCTAGGCAGGTTACCTCACCTACCTGAGGTTCACCATTCCCATGTAAACAGGTCCTCAATGGGTCTGATACAGTAATATGATGCTACTAGCATATAATTGAGGCAACATTCTGAGTTAGAAATCAAGTCAAAAGTCTGAAATCTCTGAAAACATAATCAAATTAACTTACACCTGATGGAAAGAAAAAAGTGCTAGGTGTATAAGGAATCAGCTATCATTTGGAGAGGGTTGGTGCAAATGGAAGATAATCAAGTTAAAATTTTCTTAATTCTCCTTTGGTGAGAGACAATTATTTCTTACTCTCTCATCTTCCTCCTCCTAATGCTCACTCCATTATAAAACTATTCATGTATGAATTTGTATTGCTTACTTACCTCCCTACGTAAAGAGCATAGGCTCTCTGACTATATGCAATAACTCCCCCCCGTTTAAATGAGGACCAATTCGTAAATGGCAAAACAAAAAATTTTCATCTTCAAAAAAAGGTTCATATCCATCTGCCGATCATCAACCAACCAAGTCCTATGATTTACCTGTAGTAGCCGCTGCAGTAAGTAGTAGGCTTTGAGCAGTTTTCTGTTGCAAGGCCTTCAAATATTCTCCTCTACATATGCAAGCAACGATGACCCTCAACTCTTCCAGATCATCTGGAATATCATCAGCTACAATAAAAGGAAATTCTCATGAACATAACAGGTATTGCACATAAATAAAAGTATAAAGAAAAACTTCCCTTACGTTTGTTTTCGAAATCACAGAGGTAGTCAAATCGTTATCTCACCTAATTCAGTGATACTTTGCTCTAGAGAATCAATTAACGTAATTATCTTCTCTTCGTTCCTTTCAAAGACTGCCTTTTCTAAACTGTGAAGAATCTCAATTGAATTCGTAGCCATTTCTCTGTAAATGTACAATTCACTTTTCACAAGCCGAGCACGTTTTCAAATCCTACTCCATACCTCCCCTCCTTATCCCACCCCCCTCCCGGCGAGGGAACGTCAAAGTTGTCTATGATCGATTAGACCTACAGAGCAAAGACTGGGACTAGACCGGAAGGACGCCTGGGAGATCGAAGCAGTTGATACTCAGGTGATGGCGAGCTCAATTGTGAAGATTTTGATTTCACGACGAAATAATTTCCCTCCAATCGCCCGATACCTCACCGACAACTCTTCTACACGGTTTAAAGTTGGTGACGAGGTGAAAGTGCGTCGGTTTGTTACTGTGGAAGATGTAAACGCATTTGCCCAACTGACGGGTGACACAAACCCTATCCACTTGGATGAGCATTTTGCGAAGAAAACCGAACTTGGGCAACTTGTTGTACATGGGGTAATACTCAACGGGTATCGTAATCTCATCAATCTCAAATTTATTAATTTACACTATTAGAAATCTTTGGATTCAATTAAAAAATAAATTCGCCGTATTCCCCAAGAGTGAAATTTAATATACTGGTAGAGTAAATAATTTGTTATCAGTGGCCCACACTTTGATCACACTTGTAAATGAGGACACTTCACAGGTTATATCGATAATCTAATGGCACAGTACACATTGTTCATTTTCTACAAATGGGTACTTTGTTCTCTGGTGATTATGATTACATGGTGTCAGCTGCTATTAAGCTCATGATTAACAAATCAAGGGATGAGGAAATGTACCACTTCTGTATTTCTTATTTTAAAGAATCACTTTTTTAAACTGGATAGCCTGCTGAAGGAGAGAATCTCAAGGTTGAACCTCCCCTCCCTGGTTTCTGTACTACTGACACCTTTACACATGCTGTCAAGAAAATGTTAGGAAACAAATGTTCCCTTTTATTTTAGGATAGTTTCAGCTGTACATGGCACTAATCTCCCAGGTCCCGGATGTATGGTTGTGTCACAATCCCTCAAGTATCCAGCCCCTTGTGAGTAAGAGAAGCCTACTAAAAACTCATATTTGATACCTCTGGTAAATATGCTCAATACATTCTCAGAGTCTGGTTTTTATGACAGCAACATCACAAATTTATCTTTTCAAAATAAAAATAGAAGAAACCCAGCACTTGACACCCTTACCTTTGTATTCATTTTCTCCTCACTGTTCTGTTTACATTTCTCCTGTTACTGAGAAGGAGAATTTTTTTGATAATCAGGAGCTTATTAAATTAATGATCATTTCCTTTTTCCTTTTGACCTCCTCATTTGATTCAAGGGCAATAATGTCGGGTGAAATTAGAAGCCAATCACTATTAGGGGTTTAAGGGTTAAATATTTTTTAGGTATTCTCAATGTACTTGGAGAATTACATTGTCTAAAATTTCTGTTTCCATTCTTTTTAAAGGAAAGTAGAAAGGAGTGTGTATTTTTTAACCTTTACATGGTTTCAGGGCTTTCATCTGGCTGACTTAGTTAAAGATTTAGCCATAAAGCATCATAGCATCATGGACTTTAGCCTCATTCTGATCACTTTGTTTCCTAACCATGGGTCACATTTAGCCCAATGTACATGACTAAGGATACATTTAAGTTTATGCAAGAGTATAGAAATCAAAGCTGTGGTACAATGGACCTCTGACTACAATTTATTTTCCTAGTATTTCCAGGGGAAGAGGTTTTGACTCATATTCAGGTTACCAGATTGAGGCATGCTATCATGAGTTGTGATGTGACTTGCACAGCAGTTCATAGGGGGAAAGTAAGTGATCTCTGTTAAATTATGACTGCCACAGACCAACTGACCACACTGTTAGAGTACTTTAAAGCCCTTAATTATCATCATCACAATTTTCTCAAATGTGATTGGTGCATTAACTGCCCTATATTTCTCTAATTGTTCATAGAGTTGTAATGAGACCGTGTACTGGTAATCTAATAGTTAAAGCAGGCAATTTAACTATTTTTACTCAAATAATTCCACCAATCACAGAATCGATTACAATAACCATAGCAACAACCACTTACTCTACAAAGCTGGAGAATTTCCAAAATGGAGGAACTTCTTAACTTAGACAATGTCTCTTCCAGAGATATTTTCTCCAATAAAAGATTTTTTCCTCAGAAATTGTAATGGTAATGAGTATTTGGTAAAAGATTTTTGCATTGTCCAATTTGGGAGGTAATCATACTCGTGATTGACACATTTGACTCTCGCTTAGTGTCTGTCTAATTCTGTAATCACTCAAATGAGTACAGACTAAATTGGACTCCTTGATCCTATAACCATTATATGATGACAACAAGGTTTTGATTTTAGTCTTTGACAGGTTATACTACCCAGTTAAATTAGGTGAAGTTTTACTTACAGTTTTCCAGTACCTATTTGTTCTTTTGGCTCACCTTAATGATGAAAAAAAAAAACAAAACAAAACACAAAAGCAGAGAAACAAATTGGCTGCATTGAACTTCAACTTTTTGTGGTCATTCTTTTTCAGAATTGACTTTTTAAGCTAAAGCAACCAACTTTTAAGTGCATCAGACTTGTTTTTGGTCATAAGGAGGACTTTTATTAGTGGTTTCATGTGTGTTGTTTTTGTTTGTGGCCAAGTTTTTAACCATGGTGCAATGCTGAGATATGACCCTAGGGTTAACATTGTATTTCAAATACAAAAGTAGAAGCCAAATTGCAAGAAAATGAAATAGTGGTGGAATTGAAATGGATCCCTTGTTTGATGGGTTCACACATTATGCTAGCAGACATTTTGCTCATTGCTCATAATTTTCCTCCCCTAAGGCCTACAGGGCTTGCAAGAATACAATGAAAAATAGTATCTGCAGGTATTATATGTGACACTATTTTTTGAGGTGTATGTTTTTTTTGCTGCTGTTTTATTTTTGGAATTTGTACATTTCAGGTTGTATTATGTGGTGAGACCAAATTGTTACTTCCCAAGAAACCTGGTTGAGTCCATGTGTATGTGTTTTATCCATTTCCAAGTAAATAAGATGTTCTCAGCTGGAAAAAATGGCATATGGGAACTTTTTTCCTAGTCCAGCAAATGTTACCCAATCACAAGCAAGCTTGTCTGTCACTCTGTTACATATGCTATTTTTTTGCCTCACTCAAAAGGAAACTTCACTAGAGGTTCTGGGGACCTTAATTCACGGACAAAAAGACACTTGCAAGGATGATCAACCTCTTTCATGAAAGGTTCCATTTAACTGACAATAAATTTAACTTGGTAGCATATGCAAGGAATGTGCTGTACCATAGTCCAAAACACTGAATAAGGAGGGATCACAGCTGGTCACCCAAGAGGAATGGCGGGGTGAACGTTTCTTACATCATGCAGGTTATTACGGAATAGGGTTAAACACGATTTTAAAAAAGCCATCTCATGCCATAATTGCTCACTTAATGTACAACTTATTAAAAAAAAACTCACTCAAAAATGCTTTGAATCTTCGCTGCTAAACAACATCCACAAAATGGCGCCGTATTGGAAAAACGGAACAATAAAGCAGACTTAGTATTCTTGGTATACTGTTATTTAACAGCTGGAGCTCAAGGACAGAAATTAGAAAATGGCTAACGTGATGTTTTAGCGTAGTATTTGTCATAACAGTCCTATAACTTGCAAGAAGAAATGAAATTGAAATCCGTGCTTGTTATTTTGGTTTCTGTAGTTTGCTTTCGTGAATTAAGTCGTTGACTGTGGTCAACGCCAAAGAAAGTTACTGGTGGGTGACCGTTAAACTGTACTAACAGTTGTTATGGGAAATAAACGTGGAAGAAATTTTACCTGAAAGATTATTCTTAAATTTATGTGAGTTGTTCCGCTTTAAGTGACCGTTTAGTAAAGCTAAAGAAAATACAGAAAGGCCGTTGGAACTCAGCTAGTCAAGGGTGATCACTAAATAGATGACAGTTAGATATTAGACGTGGATTGTTAGGTTAATGTCTCGCGCACTTTATGATTCTCTTTGATCTGAGTCGACGTTAGTATCTCGGGTACTTTTAAGATTAATGAATAAAGAGGGGTAAGTTTCTTAACGGAAACTGTAGTGCTACGTCGGTAGATAACGTAAATTGGCCACTAAAGAGATTAAAAGCTGACGTTTCGATTGTTAGCCCTTTGTCAGAGCGTTAGCCCTTTGTCAGAGCGTTAGCCCTTCGTCAATCGTCTCAATCGCTCTGATGAAGTGCTAACGCGCGGAACGTCAGCTTTTAAACTCTTTACGGTGGCCAATTTACGTTATTAACTCAGTTGACAAAACTAAATTTCCCTACTTTTAAGATTGCCCTCCATTGGATTGTTACGTTAGTATTTCGGGCGCTTTTACCTGACGATTCTCTTTCGTTCATAATCTCTTGCTTTTATTCGTAGATTGTTACATTTTGTTTCTGACGGACTTTCACGATTCTCTTTCATTGATTGTTACCTTATTAATATCTGGAGCACTTCTAGGATTCTCTTTCATAGAATCTCGCACATTTTGAAGATTTTCCTTTCAATTATTACATTAGTATCTGAGGCCTTTCAGCATCCTCTTTATTGGATTGTTACGTTAGTTTATCATCCACTTCAATTAAGTATAAAGAACAATCATGGAGTGAGTCACGCGATATTCAGGCAGTTGGTTACTTTTGTACTTTAAAAACCCTGTTTAACCGGTTGGCTGCGCGTGCTGCGCTTCTCTATCTAGTCAATTTTACCGTCTTATTAAGAAATGCGCTTAGAATGAAGCAGTTGGACATAAATAACTTGTTAGATGTTTTGGTGTGCAGTATCGCTGGGCATTTTTACTCGTTGTTTGTATTTTGACCCGCCCTGCAGGCTCGATCGTCAAAATACAACACAGCTCATAAGACTACTCAGCGATACTACACACCAAAACGTTTAATGAGATAAATTTCTCGCGCACTGTAAGAATTTGCATTCTCTTTCAGTGAATTGTGATGATGGTATCTCGCACACTTTTAGAATTTTCTTTCAGTGGATTGTGACGTTGGTATCTCGCGCACTTTTAGGATTCTACTACATTGGA